ATGGGGGTTAGATGCTTTGCTCAAGGGCACTTCAGTCATGTACTGTCAGCTCAGGGGATCAAACCAGCGACCTTCAGGTCACAGGGCTGGTTCCCTAACCTTTAGCCCATTACTGCCCCAAGAGGGAACTTTGGGGATTACGGTACAATTATGTTCCCTGACTAAAGGTACTGAGATGTACCCTTGAAGGAACCACCCCAGTGACAATCGCGGCACTGCCCCAGTGACTGTTTACTACCTTTTTCTCTGAGAATGTAAGCTTAAGTCCCTATTCTGAAAACCGAACTTAAGCGCCCCGTAGGAGCCACAATCCTGCAGCAGCCGCAGCTATGAGCTCTGAGTTGATAACACAGTTCAGAGGATGGAAACACCTGTGACGTCAAAGACCGCAGAAAAAAGGTGAGATTTCATGTCGTGGCTTGCCATTAACTGAATGTTGCACCATAATAAGGTGGAAAAAAGCCTGTAGCTCAAGTAAGCATTGGATGGGTATGATAGAAATCAATATTTAAAAAAAGATAATGTAATTTGCTTGTTCAATCACTGTTGCTACTGCATTTCTCAACCCAGCTGCTGCTCGGACATAGGCCGATGCTGATATTATCATAGCTACCCATGAGTCATGGATGTAAAACTGCTTACGTGATGTAGGCGTCTGATAGAGTGGACAATAAATGGACTCTGTGTCGGATCCCCTCGTACCAACACAACACTCACTAACACGTCAGTGTCACTGCAGTGCTGAGAACCACTCAAATAATACCTGCTCTGTGGTGGTCCTGACCACTGAAGAACAGGGTAAAAGGGTAAACATTTTTGCAGGGACAAAAATCTGACATTGCAGAACTACAAAGTGCATTTATCATCTTATGCAAACACTTTAACACCCCTGGTCAAATTACATGTATTACTGTGGGGTGTGGGGGTGTCTGTGTGTAGAGGGGGGGGCAGTAGTGGACCAATGATGGCGCATTGTCATAAAAATCAGTGAAAGACTAATTGACTTAACAGGAAAAAGAGAAGTATAACATATTTTCAAATAGTAAGCAAAAATAACTACAATAATGAGTGTGTTTTCATAATGGGAAACTCCGGGTCTACACGAGTCAGACAGTAATCAGATTTCTGCTTTGCAACCAATAAACTCACAGAAGAAGACGTAACGTAAACATAATGTAAAACTCAAACTTCATGCTGTGGCTTTTTTGAAAAAAATCGCACCACTTTACCTGAAAATCTGAACATACATCATCTAGAAGATAAAGAATATTTAAATCCTTCATTTCAACCAACGTGTAAATAATTTCAGCGTCACTGCTGCTTGTTTATTTCTGGTTCCGCAGTCTGTTTCGCACACGCACAGACTGAGAGTTTGGAAAGAAATCAGAGTAAGAGTCTACATGCACTGAGAAATCTGATTACTAAAATCCAGCTCTTTTAATGAGATTTCTAGACCTTTCTCTGATCTAAGAAATCAGAGTATGCTGTTTACAAGACCATTTGAATAATCAGATAACCGCAGAAATCTGATTATGATAGATTGCTGAGTGCATGTAAACGCACTCATTGACACCAAAAGGCAGTCTCGTCAATTTTCCACCCCCTCGCCAAAAGTTTCAGGTGTCCACTCGCAAGTGACTGCTGTAAAACATTGTGCTCTAGAAAAAAATCCACTTAATTCGCCACTATTCTGCCTGATTACATTAGCATTGATATTGATACTGATACACGTTGCATATCACAGAGGAAAGCTCCCAAACACAGCTGTAATGAAAATTTCCCCATTTTTTTTTCTGTGGGCCTTTCTAATGATAAACAGATGAGCCTTGAGACGGAAAGGTGTGAGCACCCCTGCTCTGCAGGGAACAAACTTAAATATGGCTTTTCTGCACATTTTAGTGCACAATATCAAATTTTTTTGCAAGCATAAAATATAAAGCATGCCATAACCTTTGCACAACCCACATTTTATAGTTATTTTAACTATTAATACACCTTATGCTTACTATTTTTTTAGTCTGTGGGAACCATTTTTAATGTTTACCAAAAGAAAAAATGATGATATATCATTTCAACCTCAGATTTCTTGGTCTTTGCTCATTTTCTGTGTAGAACATATAAAATAACCCATTTTCAGTGTCTTCACTCTGTTCACCCCCCACACATTTAAACTACACGTGGTGTTGGGTGAACCTGCGGGGAGTAAAAGCGTGGAGGTGCTGTGTCCTTCACTCTGTTATCCTCCTACATGGCCTGCTGTTAGGGTGTGTGTGTGTGTGTGTGAGGGTGGACAACATGGACAGGCTGCTGACTGACTACAGCTGCTAAAGGAGAACCCTACGCTGGACACTTGTGATATTTAAACATCTGGCATTTTTACATAAATTGTTATGGCCATATTGATTTAAAGAAACAATAATGTGGTGGGTCCACCAGACCACTGAGTAACAACATCAACACCACACAAGTGTTAAGATGACCACTAACAACCTATTACGCATGTGTAGAAAGTTACTGGTCAATTTTATCATTCATGATGTGGGGATCTGAAGGCACGTCAGCATGTGTGCACTTCAGGAGGTCGTCACCGCTAGTCTCATTCTGTAACCCTCAGGGACGCCAGCCTTCAGGTTGCCAGGCTATCTGTAAAGAAGCTCTCAAAGCTGTGACTAACTCCTCCAGGGTTTCCGACTGGCACGAGCAGTCGGATAACCCTGCTGAGAACCAGACAGGAAAAAAACAGTGAGTCAGCACTCTTGTATTGGAAGCTGGGGCTCAGCTTTTTATCTCTAAAATGGCAGATGACCCTCTGAGGCATTACAGTATCCCGAAGCACACATACAGTCTAAAACACATGCATTTCCTCAGCCATTCCAGAACGCAACCCGGCCTGGGCAACGTACTTTCACTAACGTACAAACCTGGACAGTGCAAGATTGTCTCTGCATGCCTGGCTTTGAGCTACCGGACAAAATTCAACAGATCATTTATTCTGTTCATTAAAATAACAAAATTATAAAATGACCTCAAACAAACCCGTCCTAAACGTGCACACATTCTTTATGCTTATGTTTGAGTTGAATCTGCAATTGATCTATCCACGCTACACCTACAAGTGCATTCTTCCATAGCACCTGTTGCTAGGGTGGACAAGCTTTACAGAACAGTACCAAAAGTCTCAGTAAACACGAGAAATTGAAGCTATCTTTGTTTAGAGTCGCCAGGGCTGGATATAATTGTAAATTTTCCTTCAGTAAAGATTCCTGAACAATACTTTTTCCAATAACTTTTTAAATTACAAACCCAAGGTGGGTGTGGCTTAAACCAGAAAATGAGTATGAGGTGCTGCAATTGACTACAGAATTGCAGACTAATTAAGAAACGCTGACGTTAATATGACGTATATATTGTTGCTGTCAGAAAAAAAAGTTGTATCTCCATTTTTGTTGCTTTTCTTTTTTGACATTATTTGAAAATAAAATAATGTCCCTGAAAGGCTGGATCAGATGTATAAGAGTTAAGCAAGGGGTGGAGCCTTTACGTTCTGTGAAAATTTCATGAAGAACAGACCAACAAAAATGGTCCAAAGCTGTTGAAAATAAAATATCTTTACATTAATGTACATTACAATTCCAGTTACCATGGAAATACAAGGTTTTGTTCCATGATACTGGAATAACATTCAGATTTCCAATCAGCAGTCTAGATTTTGGAAGAAGCATGCATAATGGCTCACTGACGCTGATATTACCGACTACTAAGATACCGAAATTTGCTATCGAATGACAATATTTTGATACTTAAGGACGAGACTATGGATTTCATTGAAACAAGGCAGGTTAGAAGTGACTAGGCCTGAATACCATTCAGCATCTTTTGATAACTAAGCTAATCACACCTGAGATATCAACTCCTAAACAATACTTCTTCCAGTTTTTATCTAAATTACACATGAAAAGTGGGCGTGGCTTAAAACCTGGAATAAGTGGGGTGTGCTGGAAGTGGGTATAACTGACTGCAAGAAGCACTGATGTTTATAACATGCACGTGGATTATTTAGGTAGCCCATCAGCAGCTTAGATTAAGGAACAAGCACGTTTATTGACCTCTGAACTGTAGTCAGCGTCATGCCCATATTAGGAGCTCTATGGACTTTATGTATAAGCTTTATGTCCCTCTGACAAAAATGAATGAGCCTAACCTGCGTACATTTTTCCTCTGAATGTCACTGGATCATCTGAATAATAAGATTGTTAAGGACTTAAAATGTGGACACTGTTACATCCATGCTAACAGCAAGCTGACACTCCTGTGCATTGCAATGATGTAGATGTACACCGTCAGCCTTCAACACAGTTATATAATAACAGCAGCTACTCCAAAAGAACTGCCAACACAACTTAACTACCGCACTTCATAAAGCTTGTTGGTTGTGCTGGGTATTTTGGTGAGGTTGCCTGTCTTGTGATTTAGTGTGTAGCAGTGTTAGCCTGCAATAAGCAAAATCCATATTTCGACTCCATAACATCGAAATTCAGAGGATTCAGTGAGAGTCAGAGGAAAAATTAACATTACACTCTTAAAAAAAAACAATGGTTCTTCAGTAAAGATAATGGTTCTATATAGAACCATGAACACTCAAAGAACCCTCTGTGTGAATAAAGGGTTCTTTGCATCATGAAAGGGTTCTTCAGATTGCTGTAGATGGTTCTATAGAGAACCTTTTTGAAAAATGTTCTTCTATTGTTACGATGTCAAGCTTGCAATAATAGAAAAACCCTTTTGGGTGCTATATAGAACCCTTTTCAAAAAGGTTCTATACAAATTCTTCATCAATCCGAAGAACACTTTCATGATGCCAAGAAGCCTTAAATCATGCAAAGGGTTATTTGAGTGTTCATGGTTCTGTATAGAACCATTTTTTTTTTACTCAAGATCCCCTGAAGAACTACGGTTGTAGGACAAAAGAGGCTTGGAACATTTTTGTTGACCACATTATACAATTTTTGAAATTCCCATTTAATTTTTCTCACAGAGACACAGGCATGACGCTGACTACAGAACGATGAGACGGTTTTAGATCACAGGTTCTGATGAGACTGACTACTTAAATATTGAAATTTGGTATCAAATGAAACAGAATGTTAAGATCAGTGGTCTCCAGCCCCGGTTCTGGACCGCTACCTTCCTTAGCCCCAACCACAATTTGCCACAAAGCTAATCAAGTCCCTGATTGGCTGTATCAGATGTATTAGAGTTAAGTAAGGGGTGGAGCAGCTTATTGGATACAGGCTGGAACTAAACTAAGAAGTAGCTCTCATGTAATAACCTTCTTCTAAACTAAGGCAGCTCTCCAGGATCAGGGTTGGAGACCACTGGTTTAGATACTTGAGGACTGGACTATGCTCATCAAAACAAGTCCATTAAGAAACGTGTAGCTGAGTAGATTTAGGAACGAGTCTAGATTCAAGATCAAGCATGCATATTGGCTCATGGACACTGAGAAGACTGACTAAAGACTAAAATTTGGTTTTGAATGACAAATGTTGATACTGTGGTAGTGATGTAATTCAGATGGCACCACAGAAGTACTGACTTTCAATAACCAGGCCTAGAAAGGACAGCGACACTAACCATGCTAATGTCAAATATGACTATTTTTTGTGTATTTTTAAAGAATACAGAAAGTTATGCTTGTCCAACCCAGCAACAATAACTGAAAGAAAACGCTTGCAAATGGAGCATGTATGGGGCAATTACTGTGGGAGAACCTTGTAGTGTAACAACCTCCATTCTGAAACTATAGGCTGACCGTGACCTTGTCTATATGGGCCTTTTTTGGACCTAATAAATGAATTATTATTCTCTAACTATACGCAGATATTTGCCTGCCATTCTCAGCAAAGACAAAGAAAAGAAAGCAAGATCAAACTGAAAGTCTCACACACCTGTAGTGCCCAAAAGCTGTCTCTGTATGTGTCTGAGTAATAAAACAACAAAGACAAGTGTGGATGTGTTCATCACTTCATACTAAGCTTGTATTTGGGGGTCTCTATGTTTTGTTTTTTTTTAACCATACTCTGAGTCACACTTAATCATTTAATCATACATCTGGATTGCGAGACAAAAGACAGACAGAGGAAGGGGAACGGAGTACATGTTTACACGACGTCAGCACACAGGGAGTAACTCTCGCTCGGTTGCTTTGACGGGTTCCAGTCACGTGCAAGATAGAGGAAGGGTCCTCAAAATACTTGTCCAATCAGAATGGGGCGTTAAAGCGGTCTATGTCCAGTCACGCTGAGGAGTGCAGGGAGGCGGACTCGCGCTCTTCCTTTTCCTCCTCATCCATTTTGCGCCCATGCTTCCGGAAATACTTGTACCTCTGGACGTAGAGCTTGACCAGGTTGCTCACCTTCACTGGGTTAATCTCGCCCGTCCTACTGTGACAAATCTGAAAGACATTAAAAAATAATAATAATTTTATTTCTATTTATTTCAGTCATATGACTTTTTTGTGCAGCAGCCATGTTAATGACCGTCTCCTGCAGTGCCTCAATTGGTGCAATAGTGGAGAATGAAAGGAAACGTGAATACCAGAATTGAAAAAAAAATGTTCAATAAACAGAAATAATTAGTTTAAATGTGTATATAGTTCAGACGAACTATAAACGATACGGACGATAAAAATACTTTTGCACAAATGATCATGCTTCATTTAAATCTCTATGGATTAGATAGTCAGTGAAAATCAGACTCATATATAGCCTTATTTAGGACACAGTCTGGTCCCAAGCTCTGGTCAGAGCCTGAACAGGGCCATTATCAGTTTGATTAGTTTTGATGGCTTTTCCACAGTAAAGGGGAATTTCGCAACTTTTTGCAGATAACTTTGGCACAACGAAATGGTTACGAGGAAACAAAGTGGCCTCCCAAGTAGCGCAACCATCTAAGCGTTGGCCCCATCAGAAGATCGCAAGATCGATCATCTGTGGCGAGTCCAAGACAGCACAGTTGGCCTCTGGGTGGGTGGAATTATTGACCTTGTAATTCAGAGGATCCAGTGACATTTGGGTTAAAACATATGCAGGACAAAAACATATTTACTTTGGAACGTTTTGTTTACCACAGCTGTAGTACTAGTTTTGAACTACTGGTTCAAAAAAAACCCTATAAACAGAATAAAACAGTTCTTTCTCTGCATGTTGAAACAAACTCTATTGGCTGCTGGTTGAGCACATGATGGATATTTCCACATTGACTGGGTACTATTTATTTACTGATGTTCACTCGTTCCACAAAGAGTAGATTGGAATTTTATTACTACTATGCTTTTGTTTAGTAACAAGATGGATGCATGTGTTTTGGTTTACATTTAGTTCAGTAAGTTTTAGAGAAAAAGGGAGAGAGAATAAACCCACCATTACTTGGACCAAGACTATAATATAACCATATTTAACATAATTGATGGCCGTATATTAGTTAATGTAATATTTTACAAAATTATTATAAAATTTAATATAATGTATATCATGTATAATGAATGATAAGGAATGTACAATGAATTACAACTTTCTTCTTTCTTCTTTTTATTATTATATTCTGAAAAGATAATAATGTTCTCTTGGTCTCGGTCTCGGTCTCAGACTCGTCTGCTACAAAAACTCTCTTATGGTCTTGACTACAACACCAATAGACATGAAAACTACAAAGTGATGACGTGGCTTCAGAGGTCTATAGACGCCCATATTAAACAACGTAATTCAAACTTTACATGCAGGAAGCAGCTCATCCGCAGCTTTGCGCACACAACTTTTTTATCTTGATCACATTATGCAAAACTACCACTAGAAAAAGGGTAATTTGTCATTTTTGTGTGCTTGTTTGGTTTCTGCTTTCTCAAACATCCTCTTTATTACATAACAAAGGCCAATAAGCAAAGCTTTTAGAACCTGATCCTAGCATAACGTCATCAGGTGCTTTGTGAATACAAACCACAGGGTTTTATTTCAAACTCTTTCTCTTCTCTTACGCAGAGTGCAAACAGAGGTTAGGGCTGGCCAAGCTCCCATCGTCGAAACAGCTTTACGGAGAGAATGAGTGTTTACCTTGTGCACAGCTTTTCTCAGGATGTCCTTGTACTCTTCCTTGTTGATGTCTTTGCGCTGGTAGTAGGGTTTGATGGCCAACTTCACTTCCTCTACTGCCCTCTCCTGGGTGTGTAGCTTCTTCAAATACTGAGGGAGAGTTGAGATTCAGGGTAAAACCTCTTCGAGTGACAAGAGTCACATTCAGTGAATAGTATGGTTATACCTATGTGGAAACTGTGGACCAATGCTGAGATCTAACATTTTTCATCTCTGTATCTTCAGATAGCGATACATAAACATTTATAAAATGTTTATAAATTTATTGGGACATCTAAATTAGCATCATGGCACATGATATTTATTTCTATAGAGTTATATATGTAGTAAAATGACTGAAATACAGACACAGTAACCCTGAATCGCTGCACCTCAGGTTACAACAAATACATAATTTTAAATATTGGTGAAATCTAAATATCTGTCCAATATTTGGCACTTATACTTCAATTTCAATATGATTACAAAATCATTACACATGCCTAGTTCCCTCACAGAAAGTAGCACCGACAGAAGTAAAATACCTTATCAGGGTCTTTACTTTCACTGTCCCAGCCTGTCTCATTTGCGCCCCCTGTTGACACAGACAGACCTGTAGGCAATGGAGGAGGTGGCGTCTGAGCACATCCACCACCCAGCGAAAGTCCAGGGTGTAAATGAGAAGGTGGGGTTTTAGTACAGCCGACCAACGGGAGCGAGCCATGGAGAATAAACTGCGCTGGCGTCGGACCTGGAGGCGGAGCATGTGATGGAGGAGGAGGAACTTGTGTGGAGGAAGAAGAAGAGGAGGATGAAGGATGTGTCTGCGACTGGTTCTGGTTAGCCTGAGAGAGAATCTGTTCAAAACAATTAGGAGTCACAAGCGGAAATAACCAAATTATTTATTTTACATTTTTACAGAAAAAACAAACAGTGAAACAAATACAAACATGTTGTGAAAGTACACAGGAACTCACCTGACTTGTGGCCTGAATAAACTCCTGTGCTTTGGCTCGGCTGGCAATATTGGCCTCTTCCATTTTAAACAGGAGAGCCGTCACTGCAGGAGAGATTCTGAATTAGGCGTTCATATGTAACATTTAAGGAGTTTTAAATCATACCAATGACTACTCTGCTTTTTTATTTTTACATCTATAAAACAAATCATTGTAAAATAAATTAGTCCCCAAAGAAAGCTTATTTTTCAGAAGTTAGCATTTACTATCATCAACATTACATGTAAAAACTCAGAAGACTCAACTATTTCACATGAAAGGACTCTGTTTACATCTTAATGATAAAAATATGCAAATTTTGAAAAATTGGTGGAATTCCAACATGAGGAATGGAAAACTCAGACTCTTAAAAGCCACAGAACAGTGGAGTTTCATTGTTTTCCTTATTTCAAATACACCTGATTGAACTGATCATTTAAAACACTGCACAGTTGTTTTGTAGATTTGATTCAATTAATTGAACGGCTGAATCAGGTGAAGACACAGTGGTCCTCCAGTACTGGAGTTTGAGAATCCTGCTTTAAACAGTACGAATCCAGTATAAGGAAAAAAAAAAAAAGCTTACATGCTAAAACACCTCCAGCGGTGCAGTCTACCCCTGCCTGCAGGCTCCAGGGCAAAGGCGGGGCTGCAGGGGGTGGGGGTGGAGGAGGCGGGGGCTTACTGACAGATGACGAAGACACTGAAGATGAGGAAGATGAGGAAGGGTCTGCAGCCGGAGGAGGAATGGAATGAGAGAGGGAAGCAGCAGCCAAGGCCGATGAAGAAGTGGAGCACGGTGGCGATGTTTTCTGGTCATCTGAGGGGAGGGGCTTGGAGGCAGACTGGGATATGCTGTCCCCTCTTGACTGTGGAGGGCTAGGGGGAGACTTTGAGGGCGCATGGAGCAAGGATTGGGACTGAGCTGGGCACTCCTCCGAAAGAAACGAAGGTTCTGGCGTTTTGCAACTGCTGTCCACAGTCTGAGAGTCTGGAGAGGATTCCCTTGTATCTCGTGAGGGTGGTAAAGACAGCGGAGGGGTGTGGGGGGGCGAGGACGATGGGGGAAGGACGCTTGTAGAGGAGGATGAGGACGATGATGATGACGACGATGACGGTGTGGGACCAGGGAGAGCAGAAGGAGGACTGGAAGGTTTAGGACCAACTCCGCCCAAAGGCTGAATATCTGCTGTCGCTCCAGCCCAACCGGAGCCCAAAGTGCTACTGTTGGTGCCTTTAATATCAGGCCCGTCCACTGCTAGGCCTTTTTCCCGGGGTTTCTTTCCTGGCCTCCGCCTACGCTTGGCTGCCGAAGACGACGTGGGTGAGGACGCGGATGATGATGTGGAGGTTGTAGAGCTTGGCTTGGCTTTCTTTGACTTAAGTCCTACTGGGTTAGCTGAAGAAAGTGGTGCAAGGGTATTGCGCTGTTTGCTAGTCTTCCCAAGATCCTTGGCTCTGCCAGGCAGGGACAGCGGCTCTGAGCAAGGCTTCAGGAATGGCGATCGACTCTCGTTGTCCCGACGGAACACCACAGCTATAGACCCTCCCACTACTGAGGGTCCTGCAGCTCCACCCACGACCCCACTAGGTCCCAACAGGTCGATGCCCAGTTTGCCAGAGTTCCCTGTGGTGCTGCTAACACCCTCTCGCACCAGCACTGACACTTTAGACTGGAGTTTAGCCTTCCTGCTGCTTCCACCTAACTTCTTGGATCTGCCAGAACGTCCTGATTCTTTCTTGCCTCCTTTTTCTTTCCCCACCTTGCGTCTTTTGCCAGTAGACGAAGAGGCAGCGGGTGGAAGGGAAGTAGTGTTGCCAGAAGAAGCAGACAGAGGCGGGGAGAGTGAGGGCAAGAGGTTTTTGCTTTTCGCTTTGGGTCTGTGAGAAGATGATGAGGTGGACGACTCTGACTGGCCAGTCTTTTTGCTGGATCTGGATTTCTTCTTTTCATGGCGCCGGCTGCTTTTGGGGGCTGTGGCCTTGGGTTTGGGACTAGGGAGAGGGGGTTCAGGAGGAGGAGGTGGGAGCAGAGGAGAATCCTCCAGCGAAGGGTAATCAGAGTCCAATGCCTCTCCATCCAGAGATAGCATGTCAGGTTCTGGTCGGTCTGAATGACGGTCGGATTCGTAACTGTGGTAACGTGGAGGGGTTAGCGAGGAGGGACGTGACCTGCTCCTGTGGTCCTCATCCATTCTTTCATCATCAGAGCGTCTCCTCCGTTTCCGCTTTCGCTTCCGGGGTTTGTCTGAGCTTTGTCCAGGACTGCGTTGGTGGTCCTGGCCATGCGCCGGAGAACTGGGGACCGTGGTGGTGGGTGTAGAGGTAACAGTGATGGTGCGTTTAATGGCAAAAAGATCCGACCCGTTTAGATCCTGAATAGATGGAGGTACAACCGGTCGACCATCTCTTCTCCTGTCCCTCTCTCTTTCTCGCTCTCTTTCCTTTTCCCGGTCTCTCCTCTCACTGCTTTCTCTCCTCCTTTTTGCATTGCCCCTTTCTCTGCTGCTGGACCTCCTGCTTTCTTCATCCCGATCTCTTTTACTTCTCTCTTTTCTTCTGGAGTCTCTCTCTCTTTCCCTGTCCCTGTCATCTCTCCTCCTGTCGCTGTATCGGTCTCTTTCCCGATCTCGGTCTCTCTCTCTCTCCTTGTCTCTTTCTTTGTCCCTGTCTCGGTCCCGTTCTCGTCCTCGGTGGCGACCCTCCGAGGGGCTGGACCAGGACCTGCGGCTGCGTGTGTGTCGCGATGCATTTTGGGAGTGGGAGCGGGAGGAAGGTTCCGGAGTGTTGTTATGTCTGCTCTTTCTCTTGCGACTGTCACTTCTGCTGCTCCTCCTCCTGTCCTTGTCCTTCTCTTTTCCACTTCTTCTACTCTTTCTCTCATGATCCCTCTCTTTGCTTTCTCCACTCCCTCCTCCTGACTCCCCTTTTCCCTCTTTCCTCTTTTTCCGCTTCTCTTTGTCTTCTCCTTTGCCCTCTTTCCGCTTGCGTCGGTCCCTCTCCTTGGAGCTCTTTGATGATTTGCGACTCCTTGCTTTTTCTGTGGACTGGAGTTGTGAAGCGGGAGGTGAGGGAGGAGGTAGTGGCAGAGCAGAGGGTGGAGGGGGTGAAACAGAGGCAGAAGAAGGGCAAGATCGGAACCTCTCTTTTCGCCTGCTGGTAAGTTTCCTCCTCAAGTCCCCCATGCCTACCGGGGGTGCCGGTTCCCTATCCCATTCTCCCTCAGCTCGGACTGACACAAAACCTTCACCATCCAGAACTCGCAAGATTCTCTCGGGTTTGAGGCCTCCACCCTGGAGGAATGGAGGACTTCCAGAGGAGGGAAGCAGCACCTCCCTTCTTCTCTCTATTTCCCTTTCCCTTCCTCTGTCACTAGCACCCACTATCTCACCTTCTTCTATCTCAGAGTCATGCTCAGAGTCATCCAGTGTCCTCTGACACATTCCTTTCCCTCGCTCCCTCAGGGGTTTGACCCTGTTTAACTCTATGGATGCGTCCTCATCCTCAGGAGGTGGAACCAAGGTCTCTGTTGAGTCTGGAGGTGGACCTCCTGGCTCAGCAGCTGCCTCCAGCTCCAGTTCTTTATCGTCCTTCACCTCACAAGGTATGCTGCTCACTGTACTTCCCTCTTCCTCCATCTCCATCTCTCCCTCCTCCTCTTTCTCTGAGGCTGGCGAGCCAGTGGGTTCAAAGGGGTCATACTTATCTCCCTCATCTTCTTCCTCCTCCTCGTCCTGACCCGTGCCTTGTTCTCCCTCTCCATCTGTAGGGTGAAAGGGGTCATATATCTCCATCTCTGCGCCCTCCCTTTGGTCATCGCCATGCAGGTGGGGGGATGAGGAAACATGGCGCAATGGATCCAAAGAAGACGAGGGAGGCACAGAGAGTGAAGATGGAGCTAGAGATGATGAAGTGGACGACACTCCGTCTCCCGCAGCTCTGCTGACCATACCATCCCCGACATGGCCATCATCCTCGTCCTCATGATAGCCCGTCCCTCTACCACCTGGGGAGCAGGAAGAGGGAGAGGAGGAGGGGGAAGAGGGTTCAGAAGAGGGGGAGGAGGGTGATGTAGAAGGAGAAGTAGGCACAGGGCTTTTGGCAGTCTCTGTTTCCCTCTGAGAGGTGCAGAGAGAAGATGGCCTGGGCATTTGTGCTGCAGTCCACGTGGGGAAAGGGACAGGGGGAAAAAGGCAGTCTCTATAGTCCCTCTCTGATCCAGGGGCTGCCGTGGGAAGGAACTGTCTATCAAATGCGTATCCTGACAACACAGACAGGAAATAAATGCCATTCAGATAAATCTATAAAATGTAAAAACAAGCCAAACAAAAAAAGACAAGTCTGGGCTTGGAGGGCCAGAGTAAAACACAACACAATTTCCCTTGCTCAAACACATATACATACCAAACCTAGTAACTTGCTCTTTAAGCAGAAAAAACACCAAATCATTTTGTAATCTGGCCCTCCAGGACCAAAGCTGGAACTAAAGCACTATAAATAACATATAAGGGGGCATATATGCTCTTGCCTGTCTTGCTGAAACGAGGAGCAACAGGCACCAACAAAGCCAGCGATGAAGCTTCGTCTACTCTCACCTCTGCTGTAAGCTCCCCATCAAAGTCACTTCAAAAAGAAAACAACAACATTTGGCATATATGCATCACGTCCTTAACAACCGGCTCACGTGAAGGCATTTGCGTTTCAGAGTGGCAGATACATACTTACCAAACCATAATATTTTACAGTCTTGTGAAAACATAAATGTGGCATTTTGTGAATTGTTAGTCTCTAGATTGTCTTTGTCTTCCTGTGATGAAACGAAATGAGTCAAGTCCAAGTCATGTAATGAGTTCCCAAATGGTGTCCATATTCGAATACTGGCACCTCAACGGTTAACCAAGTACTTTAGTCTAGTACCTAAGCACATCCCTACTTTATATACACAACTACTTGTTCTCTTACACCTACCTGTCGGCAAAATGATGTTCAGAGCACTGCTGAGGCATAAGGAATGTAGTGTCAGAGGAAGTAGCAGCAGAAGCCTCCTACACAAGCACAATACAAACACACACAATGCACTGGGGTCAACTTGGGCAAGTCTGCCATGCTCGCAGCATTACAGGCAGATGGTCCAAATTAAGGAGGAGGAAGAAGTACATCACACTTCCATTGACAGATTGATGCTTTGGCCATTTTACATTTACCAGCTCACTGGGCTCATCATCTGTGGTCTCTCTGTTTCCTTGGTAACACCTTAGGCCAGTCGTCCTTCTGGCTGCCTCAGACTCCTCCTCTTCTTCTTCCACTTCATCTGAATGTTGTTGAGGCTGTGACAAGACACAAAGGAAACTGTGAGAAACTCACAAACCACAACATATGGACTGACGTCAACAGATCAATCTATCTAGCCTGCCTCTGGTCCAGATGTTGAGTTAAACAACTACTAACCCTAGCTTCTAAGAGGCCGGCTTCAGCCTAATCAAACTCTCCCTCTGAACCCATTTAGACATAGTGGAATGAAAAACCACAACCCTCAAGATAGCACAATCGGACAAGTGGGCGAAACAGCATGGTGCTTTGGCATCATATAAGTTTCCACCACTTAAGATTGAGATGTGAAAGTGTGTGACTCAATAGGCTGAACAACCATGAGGCAAAATTAACTTACTTCTGGGCTTAGAAAAGATCCCCATCTATCTTGAGGGTCAAGTCAAAAGACTCCAAAGCTAAATTACACTTAAAGCACGCTTTCTGGTTAACTGTAAGCATGATATCGGGACTAAGTCACACAGTAAACTGGAATTTTGCACTGGAAAGGGTCTTTTGATTGTCTTTTCAATGTTTCCCATGAATGGCCACTTTAATCACTGTGACTGAAAACACTGGACATGATTATAAGTGACAAAACAACATGAAAATGAGTGTTCTCACAATCTGTACTACCCATCGAGCCTTAAGTTGATTGTAGAGACTCAGCTTAATATTACTGCTAACCCCCTGATGAGGTGATTTAGGCATCAAAATATCCTAGTTATTCTTTTAATGCTGGTAACCTTTTCTGACATGGAGATTTAAGCTGTATCCTACTGATACAATTCAAGACTTTTTATTTTTTTTTTTAGTATTTTTGTTAAGGTGTTTCAGACGATCAAAATATTCTACCTATACATTCAAGAGCTGTTAGCATTTTTGATAAGGTGATTCCAAAGGTGCTACCTGTAGTTCTACTGCTGACAGCATGTTCTGATACAGTGATTATCAAAATATCCTATCTGTAGTTTTACTACTATTAGCATCTTCTAACAGTGATTTAATCTATCAAAGCCTCATACCTGTAGTTCTACTGCTGACAGCATTTTCTGATACAGTGATTTAGTCTATCAAAGCATCATATCTGCAGTTTTACTGCTAGTAGCATTTTCTAACACAGTGATTTAGTCTATCAAAGCATCATATCTGCAGTTTTACTGCTAGTAGCATTTTCTCATACAGTGATTTAGTCCATCAAAGCATCCTATCTTAAGTTTTACTGCTATTAACATCTTCTGACAGTGATGTAGTCCATCAGAATATCCTACCTGTAGTTTTAGTGCTTGTAGCATTTTCTAACACAGTGATTTACTCCATCAAAGCATCATACCTGTAGTTTTAGTGCTTGTAGCATTTTCTAACACAGTGATTTAGTCCATCAAAGCATCCTATCTTCGGTTTTACTGCTATTAACATCTTCTGACAGTGATTTAGTCCATCAAAATACCCTGCCTGTAGTTTTAGTGCTTGTAGCATTTTCTAACACAGTGATTTAGTCCATCAAAGCATCATACCTGTAGTTTTACCGCTAGTAGTTAGCATTTTCTCGTACAGTGATTTAGGCCATCAAAGCATCTCACACACCGTTTAAAGCAGAAAGCTATTAATACGTGCTACAGCAGGACATTTCGACGAGGTAAGGTTAGCACAATCGGTCAGGACACCGGCGCCGGTGCCGGTTTTCTGTTTATCCCATAAAGCTAGCAGTTCGCCTACTTAAGTTGCCGTAAACAACGACATCAGCCCAGTTCTCCTTAACGACTCCCTAAAACACAATAACAGCAAATGCTAAAGGCGGCCAAGCTCAGCTGTCCAGTCTGTATCCAACTTCTGTCTTGGCTATTGCGAACTAGCTAGCTAGACAGCCAGCTAACCTAGCTGTATTAGCAAACCGTGTTGTTTTAAATGACCACTGAACAAATGTAGTAAACTCTCCTGCCACCGCAGGCATATAGATAATGTACTCCAACAGACAGCACCTAACGCAATCTCCCTAAAAGAAAAATACCAAGCGTGTTTGTTTTACCCAGCAGCATCACGGTGGCTTTAGCTGCTCGATCGATTGCCTCCAATTTGATATTCAACTAGCAGCTAAAACTCATCCAAACCGTGAAATTACTCACCCTCAGCGGGTAAAGACAAGCCGGTGGGGTGAAATCCAAAATCGTGACTTTCCTAAAGCTTTTTTAAAGTACCTCAGTAACCTCTAAAACGCGATATAAAAGGCTGAAACATTTTTTTCTGTTAAGAACACAATAAGAGGCCCATCCCATCCTAATCCGCCATTTTACTTCCCTCACCGTAAACCAGCCGGCGGGGGCTGATGGGAAACGTAGTTTTCAGCGGGGGCTCGTGTAGTTCATGTTTATATATTTATTTCTCCGAGGCTCTTTCACACTGCATGCAAACCATACCGCCTCCTAAAGGAAGGGATCTGTGTTTTAATCATAATCCACAGTGAATTTCCCTGCTGCAAAAAAAAAAACAAACAAAAAAAAACATCAAAAGCTCTACTAATGGGATCTAAAGGTGCTCTACATTATAAAGGTTTGAATCCTGATGGTTCCGATGGTTCCTCTCAGAAGAGATTGACCCAATATGTCATGCCTTAAAAACATTTTGCACCAAACGCATGAATGCAAATAGCATTTATGTTTCTAAGACAATTATATACAGTGAATGTAATGCCTATGTATATAAATATTTTCAAGAAAAAAAATCAAGATATATATTATGTTTGAGACGGATATTTGAAATGCCTCCCAAAAAGTGACCCAACACAAAATTTTGGTTTCTTGATTCCACACATTTTTTAATATAACAGATAGAAGGAGTGCCTGAAAATCTGCCTCATATTACTGTGATGACGTTTGTTGGGGTATTCAGCATTATAAAAGTATAGAATAATAGCCCTGAGATAATAAACATTTACAGAAAATCCTTCTTGCTCTCAATTTTGTACGGACGTCTAGGGAGGCCATAAGCTGTTGCTATAATTTTCTGGATTGTTATCTTAAAATCACAAGATAGTTAATTCGTTATCTCAAGATAAAAACTTTGTTATCTTGAGATAACAATAAGATAAACAATATATAGAAATCCAGAGAGGCCATGAGGTAGTTATAATTTTTTGGATTGTTATTTTGAGATAACAAGTTAATTATCTTGTTATCTCAAGATAACAAATAAGCTATCTTGAAATAACAAGTTATCTTGTTATCTCGAGATAACAACAGTTGTTATCTTGCAATAAAGAGTTAATTATCTTGTTATCTCAAGACAACAAAATTGTTATCTTGAAATAACAAGTTATTTATCTTGTTATCTCGAGATAACAATCCAGACAGTTAAAGCAACAGCTCATGGCCTCTCGAGAGTTCTGTAAACAATAAGACAACAATAAGATAATCAATAACAACTTCGTTATCTTGAGATCACAAGATAATTAACTTGTTATCTCAAGATATTATAAAAGTATATAATAATAGCCCTTAGCTTATAAACGCTTTTGTATGGAAGTCTAGAGAGGCCATAAGCTGTTGCTATAATTTTCTGGATTGCATGCTGCCTCCTAAAGGAAAGGATCTCAAGATAACAAAATTGTTATCTTGAAATAACAAGTTACTTAACTTTAAGTTACTACTTATCTCGAGATAACAAAAGTTGCTTGCTTGAGATAACGAGTTATTTATCCTATCTCAAGATAACAAAATTGTTATCTTGAAATAACAAGTTACTTACCTTGTTATCTCAACATAACAACATTGTTATCTTGAAATAATGATCTACTTATCTTATTATCTCCAGATAACAGCTTTGTTGTCTTGAGATCACAAGATAACAATCCAGAAAATTATAACTACCCCATGGCCTCTAGAGAATTTCGTAATTTTGAGGTGAAGAAGTGATTTTTAAAATGAGTCTAGGTTAAATTAAGCTTTTAAAAATGTGAAAAAGTGATACTCTTGACACTCAGTATGTACATTCAAATAATTCACACACTGATGACCCATAAATTATTGGGGTTTTATTGTGTTTATTTGTTACATCTTCTGTTTATGCTGTTAAACGATACTGAGGAGTTTATGTATAATTTTTATATGTGTGCTGAAGCCGTCTGTCAGCGATCCAGATCAGTCTTGCACCATTCCGTTTTCATGCTTTAATCCATTCAGTATAAGGACCCCCATCCACTTCTATAGAGACATGTGTCACTCTAGGTGTTGCAGTAGTTCTCCAGGTCATAGTAGTCGCAGTAGAAATGGCAGCACTGCTCTACAATTCCTCTCTTCTTCATTCTGAATCCAGCCGAGGGCCTTTTCTGCATGACCTCTCTGACCTCCTTTGGGAAGAGGGTGCCGTCCTTCATCATCATACCTGCTGGGAGGGATGCAGAGTGATGGCAGGACTGGTGAGAAGAAGCAGCATAATATGGAAACAAAAATAAAATGCAATTTCTATCTGTTTTGGAGGGCTTTTGTTTTTGTATTGTGTCAGTTGTGCAGGATAATATGAAGAGAGCTGCTGCTGTGCCTGTTTTATCTCAGCAGGGCCGTCTTTGTGGAGAGGTTGGAATGGTTTTCACAGCAGGGGGTTCGTATCTTGCCTCTTTTGCCCCGCATTGCCCGCTAGCAGCTCAACAAAGAGTTACAACAGTGTCTTAGTTCATCTGATACCAGAGTTACAGGACAAAACGATTTTATTTGACTATATGTGAGTCAACTTTTCCAGAGGTGGAATGGCCACTAGGGGGCCAGTAGGACGAGGATAAGGCTGCCACTGTTAACCTGCTATAACTCTTGTAGTTCAACTTGTAGGCCGTTGTGCTAGCAATACCAAGGTCATGGGATTAATTCAAGGGACATAAAACGATTCTCTGTCTTTTTGGTGCTGTAGGTTGAGCTGGATAAATGCATCTGCTAAATAAAGAATGTAAATATATTTATATATTTCTGATTGTGTCAGTCATGATATTGGTGGCATTGAACACATTACAGATGAATTAAGAAACAAGAAAACAGAAATGATGCACATGCATCTTAAACCCACACTGTAATTATTTTATTTGTATTTATTTCATTATACATACAGTTGAATGCAAAACTTTGAACACTCCTGGTCAAATGACATGTGACAATGACATCTTTCTGCAATGCACAGTTTTATATTTATCTGAAAAGTTTAACTTATTGGAAAACAATAAAATGTGTCAATGTGTTAAATTCAGCAAATAAACTGTAATTGTGCATTAAAATGTGCAGAAGTGTGTTCTCTGTAGAGGATGTGTTCACTTATTTTTACTTTCACGGAATTTGACCGGTGGCATTTAAACTTTTGCATGTGACTGTATTATTTCTTTATTGTATTTATATATATATAGTTTAGTTGTTTAAAGATTTTTCTTTATAATTAGTTAATAATTGTTTTATTGTGTTTAACATATCGTTGCTTTTGGATCAAAACCTTGTATCTATATTTTTTTGTCGATTTATTTTTTCATTATTTAAAACTGTCACTGTACTTTACATTGTGTGATCATTTCATGATAAATGGACCAATACAAGTGGTCCAACTGACAAAATGCGAACTTAAAGGGGACTTCCATCAATTTTCCATTCCAATTTCTGCACAATTCAGTCCTTGAGATGTAAACAAAGTCATTCAGAGTGGTTTGATGTGAAATGCCTCACTGTAAAGAAACTTACCAAACTTTCCAACTGATTTGTTTACAGTGGTGGTGATAGGAACCAGGGGTCACAATGTCTACAACACAAATATAGTCATTTCAATTTCTATTTACCCGAGTTTTCATATGTAATGTTGATGCAAGTAAAATAGTGGTGAATCTGAAAAAATAAGTTTTCTTTGGGGACTTTGCCTCACAAGCCCCCTGCCATGTACCCCTCCACCACAAATAAATTAAAATAAATGGATTCAAATACAATTTAAGCCAAAACCTTATCACAAAACTACCATAAAACAATGTGCCAGACATCAGGCAGCAAATATCTAACCATTTCAAGTAATATCTTTCTGTGAGGGAGCTTTTAGAGGCATAAAACTCCTCAGACGTCTGGTTCACATCACCACCACTGTGAACAATTCTGATTTGGTTTCACTCCAAACCACTCTGAATGTGTTTGCTTATTCAGCCCTTTAATTATGTGTAATTCTTTGAAAGATCGGTGGAGTTCCCCTTTAAGTAAGTAGCTGAATTGGCTAATCAGAAACGATTGACTGGACACTTTTTGGACATATAGCGTGTCTCCTAACAACATATTTCCAAGTGAGGACTATCAAATTAGACATGAAATGTCCTTACGGATGCTGTCCTGTCGCACGCGCCTCCCAGGCTGGTAGAAGAGGCCTTTCTCTCCACACACAAACAGCAGCGCCTCCACCAGGTGAATGCCGCACAGCCTGCGGTTCCCAAACCCGCCACAAGGGGTCAGCAGAGAGGCGGCGCCAATCAGCAGCAGCAGCAGCAGAGAGGGATTCTGCATCCTGCAGTAGAGAAATGAAGGCTGTGTCCCAATTCTGCACTAAACACGAACTCTGTGATTGATGTATGAACTTTATGAACCCTTATTGATGCTACACTATACAACAGAGGAAAGTATGTGGACACCTGACCATCACACATATGAGTTTGTTGGACATCTCATTCCAAAAACATGGGCATTAATATGGAGCTCTTGTGTTCTTTTGTATTGTTTTGCTATCCGGTGTCGACCACAGGAGGATGGGTTCCTTTTTTGAGTGTTGGTTCCTCTCAAGGTTTCTTCCTCTTGCTTGTAGGGAGTTTTCCTTGCCACTGTCACCATTGGCAAAGCTCATGGGGGCTCGGACCACACAGTCATGCCTGAACAAGTAAGGGCCTTTTCCGAACTGCTGACACCAAGTGGGAAGCATATAATTGTCTAAAATGTCTTTGTATGCTGTAGCATTGACATCAGCCTTCACTGGAACTAAGGGGACAAAACCGTGAAAAACAGCCCCATCCCATTATCCCTCCTCCACCAAACTTTACTGCTGACACTATGCATTCCGGTAGGTAGTGAGTGTTCTCTTGCTAAACCTAGAATCTTTCATCAGGATGTCAGAATGCAAAGTGTAATTCATCACTTCTGATAACGTTTCCACAGCTCCAGAGTCCAGTGTCAGTGTGCTTCACACCACTCCAGCCAACGCTTAGCATTGTGCATAGTGAGCTTAGGCTTATGTGCAGCTGCTCAGCCATAAAAACACATTTTGTGAAGCTCCTGATGCAAAGTTCTTGTGCTGATGTTGCTTCCAGAGGCAGTTTAGAACTCTGTAGTGAGTGATGCAACAGACGACAGGCGATTTTTCTCACTAGGCACTTCACTTCGGCGGCCCCACTCTGTGAGTTTGCGTGACCTACCACTTCGTGGCTGAGCTGTTGTTGCTCCTAGATGTTTCCATTTCACAATAACAGCACTTACAGTTGACCAGGGCAGATCTAGCAGGACAGAAATTTCACTGATATTTGGCAAAGGTGGCATCCTATGACAGTGGCACATTTAAAATCACTGAGCTATGTGTGGCTGATGCACCTTAACTCAATAATTAGGATGGGTGTCCACATACTTTTGGCCATACCTTTTTGTGTGTATAGAATATAGAATATTTTTCAAAAGAAAAGTTTCTTTAAAGAACCCTGTAGAAAAGGTGCTCATTGTGAAAAACATTCGAACGGGAATTCCGCAGATTTTTCAAAATGTCTCCAAAGTTCAATTGTTGAGATGTGAGTAAAGTTCAGAGTGGTTTGTTGTGAAATGACTCATCATAGAGATTTGGATGTCTTTACAGTGGTGGTGATAGAAACCAGAGGGTCAATGTCTATAATGCAATATAGCCATTTTATTTGTTATCCAAAATCACAAGTGAACCTACACGTGTCTTCTGAGTGTTTATATGTGATGTTGATGATGGTAAAAAAGTGGTAACTTTAGACAACTAAGTTTCATTGTGGACTGTTGGCTCAACGCCCTGCATGTACCTCGTCACCATGAACACATTTAAAAAAATATGTTCTATGTCAAAAGCTTATTGCAAAACTATCATAAAACAATGTCAGGCACCAGGCTGTGTATTCATAAACATTTCCTGGTTCCTGTCACCACCACTGAGAACAATTCGGTTCGTTTCTCTAGAACTGATCACATCAAACAGATAACTTTGTTTATGTTTCAGCAAGGGAATTGTAGGAGTTTGGAAAAATCTGTGAAATTTACCTTCAATAATTTGCGTGTTAACCTTTCAAGCCAATCTATTAAGATCAGTTATAGTAGAATTCGGTACAGATTAATACACAGCAACTGAAAAACCATCAGAAAGCTAAGAATAGTCAAAGAACATGATCAGGTATTTGATTAGTAAAGATTTCAAAAAGTAGATTTATGTAATTAAATGTAAATATCAATAAATTACCTATTCATTTTATAAACTGCACATTAATAATGATAAATAGATCATTTATTGATATTTACATTTAATGTAAATATCAATATATGTAAATATCAATAAATGTAAATATCAACAAATGACCTATTTATTATTGTATATTACATGTTAATAATAATAAATAGGTCATATATTGATATGTACAATTTAAAGCAAACATCAATAAATTAAATACCAACAAATGACCTATTTATTATAGTATATTACATGTTAATAATAATGAATAGGTCACATATTGATATTGTAAATATCAATGATAAAGGACCTATTTATTATTATAAACTGAACACACACACATTTTGTCGCGGTTATCAATTGCATATTTATAATAATAATCCAGGAATATACTAAATTAATAGTGAATTCATTTACTATTAATTCAACAAAATTGAGAAAGTGGAAACTGTAAGAAATAAGTAGTGAGAGTAAAGAGCTCGTAATGTTTACATCATAATGAGGAATGTATAGATTATTATTAATAGTATAAATATTACACTTACTTGTTTCTCTTCTGTGGTCCAAGTGAGTGTGTCTGGTCAGAGTGAGTGTGATTCTGCCGGAAAACGTGGGGTCACTCTGTCCCCAACATTCTCTCTCTCTCTCTCTCCCTCTCTCTCTCTCTAATGCATCCCATCCTGGTGATGAGGGTCCATCACTGCGCTGTATCGGAACAACTGCCTCCAATTAATCACCTGTGGTCAGTCTGAGTGATTACCCTTATCAGAGCATCCCTCGCTCTCTCTCGTTCTAATTACCCTTATTAAACCCGACCCAAACGCTGCAGTTCGCTTTCATCCCCCACCACCCCTCCATCCCTCTCTCCTCTCTCACCGTGAAGGAACCTCTCGTTCTCTTTCAGACTTTCTCTTATTACTCTTTTTTGTCTTTCTCTCTCTCTATCCATTCTCCTTCTCTCTCCCTCGTTCTCTTTCAGACTTTCTCTGCACTTTCTGCTTCTCACGATCCAAGTAATTTCAAACACATCCAGTGATGTTGAGGTCTGGACTCTGGGGTGGTCAGTCCATTGGTCAGCTTCTTTGTTTGATGTGTCCATCTCCTTTTCTCAGTGAGGTTCTTCTTGACAGCTACACATCCTTTCAGACCTATAGCGCTGAGTCGTCTTCTCACAGTGGAAGGATGGACAGAAACACCTGTGGATGTTTTCAGATCTGAAGCAGCTTGATTTTCTCCTCTCTCTCAAAGATGAAAGCTTTAAGTGCTGTTTATCTGATGGGGACAGTTTTGGTGTCTACCAGCTCTTCCAGGTGGTTGTTAGGAGACACATTTTCTTAATAGCTCTTAATCATTTGTTGAATTAATAAATAGGTCAGTTTTGGAAGACCCTGTTTTTTTCACTTGTTTTCCTTTGACTTTCCTCTTTTTAATACAGGTAGATTATTTTATATCTAACCTCCTGAAAATGAATAACTTGTATTTAACAGCTGCTCTGACTGGAAATTAAATAAATGAAAGGTGGTCTCTGACCTTTGCACAATCCTATATACAGGTGCATTGTGTAAGTTTACTATTACAGCCTGTTGCTCATCTGTTGCAATTTTTATTGGATAAAATGACCAATGAATGAAGGTATGATGCAGGCATTTCTGATAAACTGGCAAGAAAATATACACTCTCAAAAAGATGGTTCGTTTTAGTAAAGATAGTGGTTCTATATATAACCTTAAACACTCAAAGAGCCATTTGCAAGACTAAAGTGTTTGCAAGGTTGCATGTGTCGTATATGGTTCTATATAGCACTAAAAAGGGTTCTGTCATTGTCACAATGTCAAGCTTGTAACAATAGAAGAAATTCTTAATGCTATATAGCACTATTTTTAAAAAGGTTCTATATAGGACCATATACAACACATTCTCCATCAATCTGAAGAACGATTTCTCCATGCAAAGAACCATTTAAGTATGAAAATGGTTCTTTGCATGGTTGCATGCGTTGTATATAGTTCTGTACAGCACTAAACAGGGTTCTGTCATTGTTACATTGTCAAGCTTGTAACAATACAAGAACACTTTTCAATGCTATAGAACCATTTTCCAAAAGTTTCATAATAGAACCACATACAACACATTCTGCATCAATCTGAAGAACCACTTCACCACGCAAAGAACCATTTAAGCACGAAAATGGTTCTTTGCATTGTGAAATGTGTCATATATGGTTCTGTATAGCACTAAAAAGGGTTCTGTCATTGTTACAATGTCGAGCTTGTAACAATACAAGAACTGTTTTAATGCTATATAGAACCATTTTCAAAAAGATTCTATATAGAACCATATACAACACATTCTCCGTCAGTCTGAAGGACCATTTCTCCATGCAAAGAACCACCATGGTTGCATGTGTCGTATATGGTTCTATGTAGCACTAAACAGTGTTCTGTCATTGTTTCAATGTCAAGCTTGTAACAATGGAAGAACCTTTTTAATGCTATATAGGACCATCTACAACACATTTGGCATCAATCTAAAGAACCATTTCACCACGCAAAATACAATTTAAGCATAAAATGGTTCTTTGAGTGTTTATGGTTATATAGAACCGTCATCTTTCCTGATGAACCCTTAAAGAACCTTCTTTTCTTCACGGATGTACATATATGGCAGCATAGCAGTATCATCTTATCATGTCATGTACAGTGTGGATAGTCCATGTACGTCAGTGTCAATTACAGACAAAGCTGAATGCTCTCCTGCAGGTCCTTTATGAAAGATGGACACTCTAACGGCCCGTGTGGAGTGACCATACACAGCGGATTATGAAACAGCGAGATGAGGTTGAGATTAGATTAGGAAAACTAAGAGCTAAATCTCAGAGCTGATTACAAAAAGGAGAGAGAGGAGAAGAACACACAGCACTGCAGCACTCATCAGCAGGACTGTTCACCGGTCACTGTTCACTGCCCTGCAGAAGGTAAGCACAGGAAGAAACCCTTTATACTCTTTAACGTATTCTGATTTACATGGCTGGTGATGCTGTAGGCCTGAAGTGTGTAGCACTTTGCTGATAGTTGGCTGTGTTTCATGTGAGATTAGAACACCTCATATGAAAATATCACTCTCAGTGTAACGTAAACCAGCTGCTGTCGGAACCTTGAATCTCCATTTCTGTCGTTTTTCAGTTTTTGACATAATTTGAAAATAGCTCTTGCCCTTTACATAAATTTTATGACAAATGGACCAAAAGAAATGATCAAAACTGACTTGGAAAAAAGTCTGGTTCCACTGACTTACATTAAAAGTAAAGTATGTTTTTTCCTTCTCCTGTAAAGATACGAGGTTTGTTCTGACAGCAGCGATATATATATAAAAAACAGAACAGTAAAATAAAAAGCCTGGACGAGACGGGGTGTGTGGCGTCAGTACATCTTAGAAAATATCATTTCAGTGGATTATGGTACAGTTATGTTCCCTGACTAAAGGTACTGAGATGTAGCCTTGAGGTTCCCACCCAAGTGACAAGAGGGGTACTGCCCCAGTGACAGTTTACTACCTTTATTTCTGAGAGTGTAATATTAGTGCTTTTAAACAAATAAACATTAACTGCCAAATCCAGAATCTACTGAGGTGCCTAAAACTTTTGCACAGTACTATATTTAGACCACATTAAGTCACTGCACATATTTATCCTTATTTGTAATGTGAATGCTGATATTAATGGTCATATAGACAGTCATACATAACGTAAATACATATAAGTAAATATATATTACCCTTTTCAAGTGGGATATATTATCCATATGAGCCCCGAGAGAGTCGCTCTGATTGAGGCCATGTTAGCAGACGTTTGTAAACGTGCTCTACAGATGCACTCATCCAGTATGAGTCACAAAGCCGCTTGTGTAATAACGTCTGCGATATTTAGACCCGACAGATTATCCATAATTCAGTTAGATTCCTCCATTTAGCTCTGCCCCTTATCTATTCATATCGGTTAACAAGATCCCCCTTCTTATTATGAAGGCCTAAGGTCCTTTGGGGTGACTCCATAAAAGAACCACTTTTGGTTCCCTAAAGAACATTTCAATGGATTGTTCATCAAAGAATCATATTTTATTTTAAGTTTAAAGAACCTTCCACACAATGTACACTGTTCTAAACCAATTAGAGCTTTTCCTAGAACTATCCATCCAAGTCAAGAACCATTTAGGAACCTTTACTTGTAAGAATGCAAATAATCAGTAAATAATGGAGCAATGCCATAGAAGAACCGCTTTTGGATCCCTAAAGAACCTTTTAATTGATGTTTTTTAAAGAAACATTTTTAAGTTTAAAGAACCTTCTACATAACGTATCGTGTTCTAAACCAATTAGAGCTTTTTCCTTGAACCATCCATCCAAGTCAAGAACCATTTAGGAACCTTTACTTGTAAGAGCGCAATAAATCAGTAAATAATTAAGCAATGCCATAAAAGAACCACTTTTGGTTCCCTAAAGAACATTTCAATGGATGGTTCTTTATAGAAACATTTTCTATTTTAAGTTTAAAGAACATTCCACTCAATGTACAGTGTTCTAAACCAATTAGAGCTTTTACCTCGAACCATCCATCAAAGTCAAGAACTATTTAGGAACGTTTACTTCTAAATAACTAAACAATGCTATGGAAGAACCACTTTTGGTTCTTTAAAGAACCATGTTTGGAAAAGAATATAGTGAGAGTAAAGAACCTTTCAAAGGTTTAAAGAACCCTCACTTAATGTGAAGGTGGTGCCATACTGACTTTAAGGTTATTTGTAGAACCTTAACACTAGGTGGACTTTAAAAAGGTTCTCACACATCTCATTTACAGCAATGATTTTTTAAAGAACCATCCATCAAAAGGTCCTTTAGGGCAGTGGTTCTCAAACCAGTCCTCAGGGACCCCAGACAGTCCACGTTTTTGTTCTATCCCTAAGTGTTGTGAGTTGGGTTGAAAAATGCGGACCGTCTGTGGTCCCTGAAGACCAGTCAGAGAACCGTGTATAAATTTTAAATTGGACAAAAGCGGCCTTTATGACCATTTATGACCGGAAATGGTTTAGAACAGTGGTCACCAAGCCTGGTCCTGGAGTTCTACCTTCCTGCAGAGTCTAGTTCCAACCCCAATCTGCCCACCTCCTCCAGCTATAACTGACTTCTTCAAAAGTCTCTGATTGGCCTGATCAGTAAAGGGGAGGGGCATCGGGTTAGATGCAGGTTGGAACTACAATCTTTAAATTGTGTCTAAGGTTCTTTAAACTTGCACATCTCATTTACAAAAACAGTTCTTCAAAGAGTTCTTAAAAGGCTCTTTAGAGAACCAAAGTGGTTCTTCTATGGCAGGGGTCGCAACTCAAATGCTAAGAAGAGCCATTTTGTCAAGTTTGTCAGCAAAAATCTAACCATTGTATGAGGCTCAATATTTTATGTCCATTTTACCATCTTGGCTGTAAATATGTGCTGATGTTCTAGTATAGGCTAAAAAATATAATACAAACGAAAACACAGACTTTTTTGCTCTGCTTTAAGCTTTAGTTCAGCTTCAGCTGCTTTTCTCACATCTCCAGCAGGAAACTTAGTTAACAACAGTTTCCTTGTCTTGTACTAGAACAGTTTCTTGTAAAATGTCTCTCAACGTTCGACTTTTTACGAGGCTGAAGTCGCCAGCTTTTTGTTCAAATTCTCCCGTTCCACCTTAAATGGTGCCTGAGGCATCAGAATGTAGTGAACTATGTAGCTAACTGCTTCACCATTTAAGGTGGAACGTGAAATTTCACATAAGAAGCTGGCAAACTAAAGACTCCAGCTTTGCGACGTTTTAGTGTTTGTCAGTTTCTCGTTGCAGATTAAACGGATCAGGAAACCAGCTGGAGTGATTATAAATGCAAATAAGTCCATTCATCTCCAAATTATCGATGTTCGTCTTAAATCTTTCTCTTTGCCTTTTCGTTAGCTACTAGCTAGGCGAGATTGTCTGCGTTGCTATGGTGACCAGCAGTCTGTGCGCCAACCTTCAGGGTTAAAGGGTGAATTAGCAGTTCTACATTAACTCCAGCGTTAAAGACCATTTATTGTTAAAACTGTGTTGAACGATCAGCAGAGCTTTATTTTACTGTAAAGGAGGATTATTTTATTTTTACCTACAAATCTAATTCTGCTATGGAGCTGCAATATGGCAGTAAAAGAGCCGCATGCTGCTCCAGAGCCAGATGTTGCTGATCCCTGTTCTATGGTATCAGTCCGCAGAACCCTTCTTAAACCTTTATTTTTAAGAGTGTGGGTCTTGTTCACTAACAGAGATATGAGTAGATGTGCAGTAGAAACATAGTAGGACTAAGTTCACGTAACAGAGTAAATGTCCCTGAACAGAATACACCATGGCCGTGGATGTGGAGAGGATCATTAAGTGCATCAAACAAGGAGACCAGGACAGCGTCCAGGCACAGCTGGACAACTACAACACAGAGGTACAGAGTGTTTCCTGCTACTGTAACAAAGCACAAGTGCTGCAGTAGTATTGAACACTCTTAAAAACGTTTCTACATGGTTCTTTGGGTTGGATATACAGTTTATGAACAAAGCTTTAATTGGTTAATTAGTTTAATTATGTTACATTTTTCCAAATTTCTGCTTAACCCCTTGGCCAGGGCCTTCTGGCAGGCCCAATGATTTATTACACACTTCTATAACCTAAGAACAGCTCAGCCAGTTTGCAATAAAGGCACTATAGTTACTGAATACCAAGTATTAGTAAGTAATAAGCCTGAGATTTTAAGGGGTTAACTTATTCACTGAGGGGTAAACAGTCATTCATGATATGAAATGGTTCATTGTAGAGAAACCTGCAGTCTCAGATGTCTTTACAGTGGTGGTGATTGAAACCAGGGGTTGCCATGTCTATAACACAAATTTATTGTTATTTATTTTATTTACTATCCAAAACCACCAGTGAATCTACACACGTCTTGAGTTTTTATATGTAACGTTGATTAATGATGACAAAATAGTGATAAATCTGGAACAATACGTTTTTATATATCTCTCTGCCATGAATGGACTTAAAAAGTATGTTTCAGCCCCAAAACATTCGCACAAAACAGTATCTCAGGAATCAGGCAGTGCATTCATAACTATTTCATGTAATACCTTTCTGTGAGGGAGCTTTTAGAGGTGGACGTCTGGTTCCTATCACCACCACTGTGAACAATTCCGAGTCTTAAGTTTCTCTAGAACGGAGCGTTTCACACCACACCACTCTGAATGACTTTGTTTACATCTCAACTATTTAATAGAAATTCAAAAAATATACAGTGGGTTTCTCCTTTAGGAAGGAACAGTGCTTCTTCTGCAGCATCACTCCAAGAACAGTTTAGGCACCTTCATGTTTAACAGTGTAGATGATTACTGCAGTGTTTGTATGAGTGACATGAGCTAAACTGAATCATAACAACTGTAATATTACGTGCAGTAAAGTGTAGTGTGATGATACGGAACCAGAGAAAAGTGCCACTACTTCACGAAGACTCAGACAGACATACACCGTTTCCATGGCAACGGCACAGGCGAGGAAACCTGAGGGGTGTTCATTTATTTATTTGGATGTGTGGCAGAGAGGAACTTTTGGCTGTTTCATTTCAGTAATTACTCTCTCTGTGTCTCTCTCTCTTTCTCCTCTCCCATCTCTCTATTTCATTTTCTCTTTTTCTCCGTCTCTTCTCTCTTTCTGTTACTGCCCACCCTCTCACTCTTTCTCTTACTCTCTCCATCTCCCTGTCTCTTTCTTTCTCTGCCTCTCCCTTCTCTCTTTCTCTGGCTCGTTCTCTTTTGTGTTTTCTTTCTCTCCTCTTCCTCTCTCACTTTGTTACTCTCTCACTCTCTCTTACTCACTGTCTTTCTCCCCCTCTCATTTTCCCTCCTCTCTCTCTCATTTTCTCTCCCCTTTCTTTTTCTCCCTCCCTCATTTTCTCCCCTTTTTTCTCCCTCTCTCATGTTCTCTCCTTTCTCCCTCTCTCATTTTCTCTCCACTGTCTCTCATTTTCTCTCCCATTTTTTCTCCCCTCTCTCCTTCTCTTGTTTTCTCTCTCCTCTCTCTCTCCTTTTTTTCTCTCCCTCTCCCATTTTCTCTCCTCTCTTATTTTCTCTTCACTCTCTCATTTTCTCTCCCATCATTTTTTCTTTCACCCTCTCCCATTTTCTCTCTTCTTATTTTCTCTTTCTCCCTCTCTCATTTTCTCTCCTCTCTTTCTTTTCCTCCCTCTCTCTCTCTCCTCAGTACTCTCAGTGTTTCTTCTTTAATGTTGAAGAGAAGGAGAGGAAGAAGGTAGGGGCTCAAATCTGCAGCTCTTTGAACTTATAATACAATATGTATATATATATATATATATATATATATATGTCACTTATACTGTCATCATCAGTGGTGTGTTTGCCTTTTGTTTGCTGAGGTTTGCTAGGTTTCCTCTGGAGCTTTGAGGCTGACTGCTATGTGAGATTATTTAAAAACTCAGTCTGATGGAGTGTGCGGTGATTTAGATAGGCAGTTTTCACAGTGCTAATCGGTGGGTATCAGCCTCCATTACTTGTTAGCCACATTAGCCTCACAGCTCCACTGCAAAACTAAATAAGCAAACCTCAGACACCAAACACGTCTCGGCTGACTGGCTGTGTTTGGGATATGGGAGAAAACAATTAACAAATAGTCTTCACTGAATTATCGCTTTAATAGTGATGAAGGTTATTAATCACTCTGTCTGCTCTGCCTCATCACCCTCACGACAACACGGACCAACTGGACACAGCAACGGGAACTGGAGGAGGTACAAACTCACAATAATACATGGGGGAAGAGCTCAGAGAGAGAGAGGAGACAGAGATGAGAGAGAGAGAAAAGAAGAAAAAGATAGAAAAGTAAGATAGAGAGGAGAATCTAATCGAGAGAGAGAGAGAGAGAGAAACAACGAGAGAGAGAGAGAAGAAGAAACAGAAAGAGAGGAGGAAGAGAAAACACATTAGGCAAGAGAGAGTGAAAGTGAGCAAAAGGGGCAGAGAGAAGAGAAGGGAAGAGAAGAGAAGATAAGAGAAGAGGAGAAGAGAAGAGAAGAGAAGAGAAGAGAAGAGAAGAGAAGAGAGTGAGCAAAAAATGGAGAGGGGATGACAGGGAGAGAGAAAGTGAATGAAAGAAAAAAGGAAGTAGAGTGGAGGGAGACAGAGAGAGAGAAGTGAGCAAAAGAGTGAGAGGAGAAAGGAGATAGGATGAGAGAGGGTGATTCAGTAGAGAGGTGGAGTGGAGAGAGTGGAGAATGAAAGAGTAGCAGGTGGTGTTGTGCTGTGTTCTGTAGAGACTCTGAGAGGAGGATGTGCTCTGTAGTCGAGCAGCTCTAACAGCTCACATTCTCCAGAATGATCTCTCTCTCTCTCTCTCTCTCTCTCTCCTCTCTCTCTCTCTCTCTCTCTCTCTCTCTGTTTCTTTCCTCTGTGTCTCTCAGTTCCGCAAGAATAAAGTGAGGGAGTACGTTCCAGACTCTGACTCAGACCTTGGCTCAGACGATGATGAGTGTGAGGATACTGAGCTGGTGTTGCGGAGGGTGAGCGTGAGACGCCAATAACCTCTCAGAAGAAGAAAAGGATTCCCCCTATTCTCACTCTGTTCTTCCACTGACTCTCCCTCTTTCTCTCAAGCTCTAAGGAGCTTTGTTGGCACAATCGTATTAATTTAAAGAGTTTGATGTAGCATGTAAACACGATTCAGAGCGTACCAGGCACTCCCCAGTCTATACAGTCCATACAGTCTAGGCAGTTCATCCAGTCCATATAGTCTATACAATCCATAAAGTCCATAGTCTATAGAGTCTATATAGTCCATGCAATCCATACAGTAAATACAGTCCACACAGTCTATACAGTCCACACAGTCCATATAGTCTATGCAGTCCATACAGTCTGTATAGTCCACACAGTAAATACAGTCCACACAGTCTATACAGTGCAGAGCCCATACAGTCCATATAGTCCACAAAGTCCGTACAGTCTACAGTCTGTACAGTCTATACAGCCTATACAGTCTATAAAGTACATACAGTCCATACATTCCATATATTCTAGACAGTCCATACCTTCTATACAGTCCATATAGTCTATACAGTCCATATAAACTAATCTGTAAAAACAGCCCATTTTAAATTCACTGTTTCTGTAATGTCATAGAAACCAGACTTGCATAAATATATTATGCATATTTACAGCAGTTCAGCTCTGCCCACTCACACTGAGGTTATAAGAGGTGTGTGCCAATTCAGGGGCTGCATCCTTCAAAGGACACAGCCTACAAAAAGCATGTCCTTCTAAGGCTGCGTAGATCTGCGAAGGCCGAACCGAAATGAGACAATCTGTCCTACGGTGGATTTTCTGTTTGCGTCACAGCACCGCTGTTCCCGCCCTTACCATTCCATCACAAAAAACTGCTCCTGTCAAGTTCTTTTAGAGTTCTTTAAAAATGGAGCCAGAAACATTGATTTTCCTTTTTTTATTTTTTCATTTATTAGAGCTGGAGTTGCTTTTGTCTTTCTGCTCCCTGCTCCATAAAACAAAATGAAACGTTAGCGTAAGTTCTGCTTCAGACCACATTTGGCTCTTTTTAACATTTGTATCGTCAGCTATTTGACTTAGTTTAAACCCAATACTTACATTTAAAACTATCTCCTCAGCTGCTGTTCGCTCCTCTGCTGACGCTGCTATGTTCTCAAATCCTTTCTGGCATGCAATGAACCTCAGGATATGTTGGCTGGTGAAGGATGCATCCGTTGGATCCTTCGTTGCCATGGAAAAGAAGGACACATTTTTGGCTGCATATGGAGGAGCCTTCGAAATGGGATGGCCTAGTCGCGTCACTGTGATGCAATCTGCCTTCAAATGCAGCCTCCGAAGGATGCAGCCCCTGAATTGGGACACAGCTAAGGAGTGTTTCAGCCTGGACTGCTTTTTAAAAGAGGCACAATACAGGGCAGCCAATCAGAACAGAGCTCATTTACATATATCAGTATTAAAGACACAGTGACGGAAACTGTGTGTTTAATTTAAAAGAGATTAAAGAGATTGGAAAATGGTCATGTAAAAATAAATTAGGACAAATGTAGGATATGGGCCCTGTAAGATTACACCATGCTACTAAAGATATGTCAAAACGTCCTTAACTGGAAAATAACATATTTTGTTTGAGAGAATATTAAAGAGGAATTCCACTGATTTATTACAATTTTTTAAATATTTTTTTTAATATGTAACCAAAGTCATTCAGAGTGGTTTGGTGTCAAATGCTCAGTTCTAGAGAAACTTACCGAGTTAGAATTGTTCATAGTGATGGTGATAGGAACCAGACGTCTGGAGAGTTCAATGCCTCTAAAAACTCTATCACAGCTCTTATATGAAGTCGCCATGAACCTGATGTCTGTTTTCCGATAGTTTTTGGAAGGTTTTGGCCTAAAATGTGATTCTTTTAATAAATTCATGATGGAGAAGTACATGTAAGGCAATATAGTCCCAAACAAAACATAATTTTACCACTATTCTGTTATTTTATTATAATATCACATATACAAACTCAGAAGACACATGTAGGTTCACTGGTGGTTCTGGATAGTAAATAAAATGGCTATATTTGTATTGTGCATGTACCTCTCTAACCAAAATATGTTTTATGTCAAAACTACTGTAAAACAGTGTCTCAGGCATCAGGCAGCATATTCATAAACACTTCAATATAATAACTTTCTATGAGGGAGCTTTCAGAGGCATTAGACTCTTCAGACATAGTTCCTATCACCACCACTGTGAACAATTCTGACTCTGCAAGTTTCTCTACAATTAACCAGTCAAAAATGATCTCAACAACAGAACTGTGTAGAAATTTTGAACAGTTGGTGAAATTTCCCTTTATTACCTCTCTCTCTCTCGCAGCGTCTGGCCTCGGCCCTGATGTGGTTTATCCGGACACAGCTGCAGCCAGGTGTTCTGAGAGTGTGTTTGAGAACCCTCCGTATCCTGTCCCGCGACCGCCAGGCTCTGGCGCCCTTCATCACCGACGCTGCCATCCTCACCCTCGCCCGGCTGGGCGGCATCAGCTCCCTGCCCATCCCTGGCCATGAAGAAGAGGAGGAGGGAGAGGAGAGCGAGCAGTGGGGTTTAGCCTGCAGCACCACCAGCTCTGAGTCAAGAGCCACCAACAACAGCACTTCAGGGTCCAAGGTCAGTGTCACTGAAGCTAATGTTAGTACAGCTTTATTCACCAGCTCTAGTCAGCAAAGCTCCCATTAGACACACAGCTGTCACTCAGGCAGGGCTGACGTTTATGGCCAAACATCTTATCACAGTGTATGTTCAATACCATTCAATATTCTGAGTGGTATTTCAAAACTAGAGGTCCGCGTGGGATTTCATCCCCCTCCCACAGAAAATTGGAATCATTTGTCCCACTCCCACCTGCAACCAAAACATTTAGTCCCACTCCCGCCCGCACAGCTCCGTCAACGCGAACTGACAATATCTGACACAGTCTATTCACAAACACATTATTCTCTGCTGAAATAACTCAGCATTCATGGTCATCAGGCTTACTGTGAAGTAACGTCACCAAGCGCCATTTATTACCAGTAAACACAAAGCAGGAATTAAACCACAGAGCACTTATTTTGGGTGTTTTGTGTCAAGGTAAAAGCTCCTCCATCTTTGTAAGCTACAAGAATTTGCATGTTGTTCAAGTTTTTCGAAGCTTCTCATTTGCCAGCTTCTTTTTTCGACCGAGAACCTGGCGAATGAGAAACTTCAGCTTCGCAACTTTTTAGTGTTTGACAGTTTCTCGTTGCAGAGTAAACGTATCAGGAAACCAAATGGAATGACTACAACTGCAAACAAGGCCATTCGTCTCATATTATCGATGTTCTTCTTAAATCTCTCTCTTTGCCTTTTCGTTAGCTGCTAGCTAGTCAAGATTGTTGTCTGTGTTGCTATGGTGACCAGCAGTCTGTGCGCCAACCTTCAGGGTTAAAGGGTGAATTAGCAGTTCTACATTAACTCCAGCATTTAAGCATTTATTGTTAAACTGTGTTGAACGATCAGCAGATCTTTATTTTACTGCAAAGGAGGATTATTTTATTTTTACTTACAAATCTAATTCTGCTGTGGAGCCACAACAGGGCAGTAAAAGAGTCTCATGTCGCTGACCCCTGCTCTAGACACTACTGCGGTACTGCTGTAGGATGCAAGTAGGCATGTTTACAACAGCTGTATTCATGAATACATGCTCAGTTTTGTCTGCAGTGCCCCTTTAATCACCGAATGAACAAATTTTGCAGCTAAAACTGGCTTGAGGAGCTGGACAGCATCATTAGTATCGAAAGCTTGATTTTGATAATCATCACTTGTGTTTGTCGCCCAGGCCGACTCTCTGGACACACACGGCCGCATGAGAGAGGTCATCATAGAGACACGAGGGGAGCGGCGCGGGTCATACAGGGCTGATGGGATTCACAGCATGCTGGCGAGGGGAAAGAGGGACGCCAGAGGAGAGAGGGATGAGGAGGGGGATGAGTGGTATGATGATGGAGAAGTGTGGAGGAAGGAGGCCATGAAGGCTCTCTGTAATGTCATCTACAACAGCCAGAGGGCGCAGGAAAGGGCCAGCGCTCTGAAGTGAGGCTCTCAACTCTTTACTTACAGCTACTGAGTCATTTTATGGAAACGTCCATTTTTGTGTCCCTAGCATTTACAGATATATTATATACTTGGAAAACATTGTTAGGGTTACAATTTATTTATATTTCAAAATAGAGCAACAAGTTATTTTAACAATTAAACCTTCTTGAGCCGTTAATTTAGCAATATTTCTTTTTAGATCAATTATATAGAATTCCAAGCACCACAGAAGAGCTCATCCTCACAGTCATGTGTAAAGGGTGAAGCCATATCAAAAACATGTTTTTCTACCATTTTAACTGCAATAATCTATACATGACTATGAAATATATGATTTAAATGACAAAGAAAACAAATGCCAAATAAATATTATAAAATATATAATGAAAGCTGTGGTACCCCAGGAGTTGTGTCACTGGTGGTACTGCGCAACAAAAAATCTCTTATTTTGAAATAAAAATCACACTGATGACATCACTCGACTTCCTTTTAACTATTTTCTGAGGGTCTATGAAAAAAAGCACATGTTAAGTCCACTGTGTCTTTCAGTTGTCAGAGATTTTCTCATTTAGCTCATGATTTCATATGAAGCTTTTAGTTGATGTCAATGGTGTGACCGACTTTATTCTGAGGTAACTGTGAAAAACAGAAAACAAATGGATTTAATTACATATTTTAGTGGATATTCCATGATTGACAACATGTGGTTTGATGCTCTGTAGCAGCCGTTTTGTAAAATGCATTTTTCATTAAAAATGTCACTGATGTTACCTTTCTTATGTGTAACACCAATGAGGATAGGTAACACCAGTGACACCTATGGATAGATAGGGGATGAAAAAGGGGATGTTTCTGTAGAATGACCCTACTATAAATAAGGTATAAGGAAAAATAATTTTCCTAAATAAGGAAAAATAACCATTCTGAAGCTGTGTTTTCTTTATACAGGAAATTATCTCTCATGCAATTATGCATATGTTTGTATATTATTACATATAGTTGCATGTAAGATTGCAGGTTCAGGTAATATTGAACACAGAGTTATTTGGTTCAAATAGCATATTTACAGTATTATATTTCACTTATTACATTTTTCACATTTTAAAATATCAAAATATTTAAAAAATTTAAAATATCATCACTAAAACTGGAATAGAGACGAATTTAATAATACTTTCCATCTTGTATTTTTTATTGTTGTATGAAAGTCTCCCTTTTTACTCTCTCACTTTCTCTCAGGCTTCTCCCAGGACTGTCTGAGAAGCTGAAGGACAGTATCCACTCTGCAGCACCGCCCAGCGGGCAATTCTATGACCTGCGTCTCCTGTTTCTGCTGACCGCTCTGCGCCCAGAGCTCAGGAAACAGCTCCAGCAGGTAAAAGAGATGGGGGGCTTAGTGCAGAGAGAGAAAGAGAGAGCGAGAGAGAGAGAGAGAGAGAGAGAGAAAGAGAGAGAGAGAGAGAGAGAGAGAGAGAGAGAGAGAGAGAGAGAGAGAGCTTTTCTAAGAACTGTACGGAGCCCGGCTGGTGACATCCTGTGTAAATAAAAATAATGCGTGGCCACAACTTAGTAAAGCGTGGAAATGAGATGATTAAGTTGTGGCCATGACTTAGTAAGGCCCCCCACGCCTTACTACGTGGTGGCCACGCATCAGGATCTCGTTCCCACACTTTACTAAGTCGTGGCCACGACTTAATCATCGCATTCCCCATGCTTACTAAGTCATGGCCACGCATTATTTTTATTTATACAGGATGTCACCAGCAGGGCTCCGTAGAACTGCTATTCTTATGTGCGATATATAACAAAGTAAAGCATATATGTGGTCCTGAAGTAAAGTGATATATATGTAAATAAAGATTGTTAATATTGTTGTTGCTGTTTTTGGCGTCAAACCACAGCGGAAACAACAACTTGCAACTGAAATTCTGAAAGTAAAGTAAAAGAGAGAACGAGTAAAAAAGAAAGAGGACAGATAGACAGACAGTGTGAGAAAAATGGGAGATAAGTAGAAAAAGAGAGAGAGAAAGAAAAAAGAGAGAAAGAGCAGAATAAAGAGAGAGAGAGAGAGAGAGGAGAGTGAGAGAGAGCACGAGAGAAGAAAGAGCAAGAATGAAGAAAGGCGAGAAAGAATAAGAGAGACGATGGGAAAGAGAGAATGTAATAGAGAGAAAGAAAGAGATGAGAGAAAGAAAGAAAAAAAAGGCACAAGTGAGAGAGAGAAAGAGTCAAAAGAAAGTGAAAATAAAGAGAGAAAAGAAAGAAGAGAGAATAAGAAGGGAACAGAAGAGAAAGAAAGAAACGAAAAAACCAATAAAAAAGAGAAGAGAGAGAGACAGAGAAAGAGAGAGACAGAGAGAAAGAGAGAGGAGAAAAGGTATGAATAAAGAGAGAAAAAGAGCAAGAATGAAGAAAGGTGAGAAAGAGTAAGAGAGATAAAGAAGGAGAGAGAATGTAATGGAGAGAAAGAAGGAGAGATGAGAAGACAAAAAAATAAGAACGAAAAAAGAGACAGAGAGAAAAGGCAAAAACGAGTGAGAGAGAGAGAGTCAAAAGAAAGAGAAAGTAAAATTAAAGAGAGAGAAAAGAGAAAGAGGGCAAGAAGAAAGGCAGAAGAGAAAGAGAGACAGAAAAAGAAAAACAGAGGAGGGCAAGAGAGGCAGAGAGAGTGAGAAAGACTTAGAGAAAAGTCGAAAAAGGCATAATAATAGTGTGTGAGAGAGAGAGAGAGAGAGAGAGAGAGAGAGAGAGAGAGAGATTGAGAGAGAGGTGGTATGACCAGTTGTTTGTAATGTGCTCTGCTGTACTGGACAGTGGGCAGCTCTGTTATCCCTCACTCTGGCCCTCAGGCGCGTGGTGTGTCCATGCTGATGGCGGTGCTGGAGCAGTGTCTGGAGGTGCGCTGGGTGGAGGACTATGAGGCGGTCACCGGCCCCAGAGCGGCCCCCATCAGCCGAGACGCCTCCCAGCGCGCCATAGAGATCCTGAAGATCCTCTTCAACATCACGTACAGCATGCACAGACAGGAGCCTGACGAGGTAAAGCTGGATCGGCCTGGATTACTGACTGAAATCCATACCGCACATTCCTCCACTTTAAGTCTACTTTCCACTGTGGCTGGTAACAACCCTCTAATAATAGCCCAAAGCCTCACCGCCTCATCTGTTGCACCTCCAGGAGGAAGCGGCTCTGTATCGCCATCTGGCTGCAGTGCTGCGTCACTGCCTGCTGGTGTCCTGTGAAGAGAAAGAACTGGCAGATGAACTGCAGGGGTGAGAGAGAGGAAACACCAAGAACACTGTTCAACTGACCAGATAAATTAGGATTTAGTACAAGTGATGGTTCACACAAAGTCCAATTTATACAGTTTTCTCCTTACCTCAAATGTAGCCAATCAGCCAAGACATGTTTGCATCTTTAGTTTTGCATGGGAGCTACAAGGCTAAGTTTCCTTTGAGATCAATAAGGTATCTATCTATCTATCTATCTATCTATCTATCTATCTATCTATCGTTGCTAACAAGAAACAAAAGTTTATACCAGTATACAGGTTTATGAGTAGCCTGGCCACTTCTTATTTCCCCCGTTATATCAAAAACAGGGCTGCTAAACAGCAGAGGGCGCCTGCGAGCCTCAATGAATAGGGGTATATGGAGCCAAACGGGTAAAAATGAAAAGTTAAAATAGTTACTAATTCCTTGCCCAGAACATTCCTTTAATTTTAGAAAGTATAAGGATGTATTTCACTAAAAAAGCAAAGAAAACTCACGTAAATGCTTCCCTTTTTCTTACAGCAAATGGGTTTTGGGCAGCAGTTTGCTAGCATTACTGCTACAGTGAGCTGATTGTTTAGCATTATTGCTACTGAGTGCTTTTGGTTAGCATTACTGCTACAGAGTGCTGATTGTTTAGCATTACTGCTACTTAAACTTGAGTTACAGGAGTTTAAAATGACACTTTATGTACGCCCATGACGTCAGTGGCAGCAGTAGCAGTAATGCTAACCAGTCAGCACGCAGTAACAGTAATGCTAATGTTCTGCTGACCGAAACCCGTTTGCTGTAGAAAAAAGGAAATATATAGGTGAGTTTTCATTGTTTTTTTAGTGAAGTATGTCCCTCTACGTTCTAAAATTAAAGGAAAGTTCTGGGCAAGAAATTAGTAACTATTTTAACTTTTCGTTTTTAGCCATTGAGCTCCATTTACTCCCATTCATTGAGGACTCGCTCCCAGACGCCCTCTGGCATTTTGCAATCCTGTTTTTGATATAACGGGGGAAATAGGAAGAGGCTCATAAACCAGCTCTGTTAATTCTCCTCTCTACAAGTTCTCTGGTTTACACCCCACCAATTAGCATCGTGCTAACTGCATCCTTAAATATCACACACTTACCTTAAACTGCTTCAGGACCATGCTGAACACCCAGAGACAGCATTGTACTCTTTTGGAGTCCTGTCCACAGAAGGCTGGGGGGTATGCAGCTTGCACAATGCTGTTAGCTCCCATTTGTTAGCGACATTAGCCCTGTAGTTTCAATGTAAAAGTAAAGAAACACACTTCAGACACCAAACATGTCTTGGCTGATCAGTTGCATTAGAGTTCAGGAAAATTTATACATTTGATTTTCACTCTGAACTAGATAAAATCAGCTAATCCATGAACTTTGACCTTGAAATCTCTTCCCCCTGCAGCCATACAGTGAACTTGCTGTCGGCCCTCCCTCTGCAGTGTCTGGATGTCCTTCTATCCGTCCGCCTGTCCAAGGGATCGAAGGAGTCCAGCGGCATCAATATGGACTGTGTCCACTCGCTGTTGCTGTTCATGGAGAGGAGACTGGACAGAGTGAGAGAGAGAGAGAGAGAGAGAGAGAGAGACAGAGAGAGGGGACGAGAGACAAGAAAAGAGAGACAGAGAAAAAGAAAGAGAGAGAGAGATAGGGGAGAGAGACAGATATATATATATATATAATGACAGACTGTAGTCCATCTGTTTCTCTGCATACTTTGTTAGCCCCCTTTTACCCTGTTCTCCAGTGGTCAGGACCCCCATGGACCCTCACAGAGCAAGTATTATTTGGGTGGTGGATCATTCTCAGCACTGCAGTAACACTGACGTGGTGGTGGTGCCTTAGTGTGTGTTGCGCTGGTATGAGTGGATCAGACACAGCAGTGCTGCTGGAGTTTTTAAACACTGTGTCCACTCACTGTCCACTCTGTTAGACACTCCTAACTTGTTGGTCCATCTTGTAGATGTAAAGTCAGAGATGATAGCTCATCTGCTGCTGCACAGTTTGTGTTGGTCATCCTCTAGTCCTTCATCAGTGGTCACAGAATGCTGCTATTCTCAGTCCAGCAGTGACAGTATTTTAAAAAATAGACGTAATACATACAGGACACATTACATATACATGCTTACATATAATGCCCAATATTGTATAAAAACGTGTGTGTGTGTGTGTGCGTGTGTGTGTGTGTGTGTGTGTGTGTGTGTGTGTGTGTGAATTTAGGGCCAGAAGCTGAAGGAGAAGTTGACTCCAGTGCTGAACCTTCTGACTGAAAGCTGCAGAGCGCATAGAGAAACTCGACACTATCTCAGACAGCAGGTGATTGACTTCTCACACTCTGAGTGCTGTACCTCACCGTGCGTGGTCCTTATCTACAAAGCTCATAAAAAGCTGTAAATGTCAACGCTACTGTGGTCATCCTCGTCCGCTGATGCTGTGCTGTGATTGGTCAGATCCTGCCGCCCCTGCGCGAGGTGGGCCTGAGGCCGGAGCAGGGAGACACTCTGAGGAACAAGCTGGTCAGGCTGATGACCCACGTGGACACAGACCTCAAGCACTGCGCAGCCGAACTGCTTTTTGTGCTCTGCAAGGAAAACGGTACAGGAATTAGTTTATTATAATCCCTGTATTAATATTATGATACAATATGATACTCATGTAGGAATGCAGTGGAAAATCACCTCACCCACATTCATACCAGCCATTTACACATTTATAACAATGCACTTTTAGAGCATAAAACATTGTAAACATTGTTAAAGTTGCAAAGTGAACAGTTCACCAATCCATGTAAAATTTATCATGGCTGTGACATCTCATTTACATATGACTGACCATTCAGCCTACAGGAGTTTAGCCCCGCCCACACACTCACAAGTTAGAAGCAACCTTGCAAGAAATTCCTTAATAATTTCAAAGACAGTGAGTGAAAGAGTACGAAGCCCTGCTGGTGACATCCTGGATAAATAAAAATAATGCGTGGCCACGACTTAGTAAGGCATGGGAACAAGATAATTAAGTCATGGCCACAACTTTGTAAGTTGCGGGAATGAGATCTTAATGCATGGCCATGACTTAGTAAGGCATGGGAATGAGATCATTGCATCAAGTTGTGGCCACGACTTAATTATCTCATTCCCACGTCTTACTAAGTCATGGCCACGCAATAGGATCTTGTTCCCCCACGTTAATAAGGCATGGCCACGACTTAATTATCTCATTCCCATGCTTTACTAAGTCGGGACCATGCAATAGGATCTCGTTCCCACACGTTAGTAAGGTGTGGCCACGCATTATTTTTATTTATACGGGATGTCACCAGCAGGGCTCCGTAAAAGAGAGAGAGAGAGTGAGAGAGAGAGAGACAATCAATTAGAACAGAGTCAGTCTTGAAGGCACAGTAACAAAAACAACCTGATTCATTCCAAGGGATGAAGAGAGGTCAGAAAATGATCAGGTAAATATAAATTAAACTTTTAAGTACATTAAACTGTGGAAGTGGAGTTAAAAAAAAATAAAACCCAAGTAAAGTGTAGAATATGAGTTCTTTAAAGTACCCATGAATCAGAGACTAATACTCCTGTGTGTGGGGGTCAGTGGGGCGATTTGTGAAGTACACAGGTTACGGAAACGCAGCTGGCCTACTGGCAGCTCGGGGTCTGCTGAGCGGCCGCGGACCCTCGCCTCAGCCACAGTACTCCAGTGACTCGGACTCGGACACAGAGGAGTACAGACAGGCCAAAGACAAAATCAACCTGGTGACAGGACGAGTGGAGGAGCAGCAGCCCGACCCCATGGAGGGAATGACCGAGGAGGAGAAGGAGGCAGAGGCTGTCCGGCTCATTAGCATGTTCAACAGGCTCTCCAGGTTAGTGGGCTTCTTTTCAAATGTGTGAAGATAAAAAAAGCCCTGACTACGTAGGAAAAACAGGAAGATGGTCCTGACTTTGTAGACTTTTAAAACCGAAACGACCAACGATCATTTCTTTTTGGTCACTGAGGTTAATATGAGGGTTAGATTAAGGACTGGGCTTCCTTATTTACTTATTACACAGTGGAGTCTGAGACCACATTGAAACTTTTTTTCATTTAGACCTGAAAATAAACGATAAAAAGTTGAAGAATCTTGGAAAAATCAAAACAAAGAAAAGTTATGGCAAATAAAATGAAAAAGAAAGATTCAGCACTGTTTCTAGGTCACTATTCTAACTGAAGCAAATTTGTGAAATTGACCACATTAAGGCCATTGTACAAAAAGGTCAGACTTTTTAAAATATCGTATTTCTTTAATTGAAACGCGGATTTAGACAGCTCTCAGGTGATTTGATCTACTGATCAGAGGTTTTTGCACAAGCTTATGAGGCCCATACCAGCTTGAGTGCCAGCTGTCAAAGCAGAAAGGGGACACACCACCAAATACTAGGAAGTCCTGAAATTATTGTTATAAATCAATTATAAAGAACTTAAATTTAAAAAAAAATTCAAAATAGAAGCATTTTCATCAGTGCTCTTAGACTTCGATGAATTTCCATAAATCATGTTTTTTGTGCTTTCCAATAAAATCAAACTGCAGTTGCTGTTTTGATTAAGTAAAAATAACTTTTTTGAATAACTTTAAAATAGCTTTTTTTTTTATTTAATCTTGTTTTTTTTTGGCAAAAGCAGATAACTCCAGTGGTCATTTTATGTTTGTCAGAGTTAAACAAAGTCATGTAATAGATACAAGTTTCTTTTAAGGTCAATATTTAACATTCTTTCACATAAAACTCTTCGGTAAAGTGCTGAAAATTACAACAAAAGCAGCCCATTAATGGTCAGTATTAAACATCTGTCCAGTATGAATTGTGTGCACATAGCTGAATCCAGAGTGGTTCTTTGTTAGACAGACTGTGCTCTGTTTAGATGCAGTAGCTGTTATTTTAAGACCTATGTAATGCACTTTGTAGGGAGAGGGGAGCGCTGGCGTTGTTTCTGCTGTAAAATGTGTACTTGTAGTGCCTCGACGATAGACAATAAAAACGTATTTAGGGTCCAGGATGTGCTGTGTGTTGAGAATATCTCACGACTGTCAGCTGTTTTTTAGGATGGTGTTTACCATTTACCATCTATCTAAATAGGATGTATGTATGTGCATATTTACACTGTCTATATATTTCATGATGAATGGACCAAAAGAAACGGCCCAAAATAACTTGAAAAAAATTCTGGTTCCATTGACTTACATTAAAAGTAAAGTATGTATTTTTCTTCTCCTATAAAGTTGTTATTTTGGAGAGATGAGGTTTTGTTCCGACAACAGTGATTATTATTACATATCGGTACATATATATATATATATATATATATATATATATATATATAATAGAGGTGGCACTTATGCATTTTAGGCATATAAAGAAATGTACGTGTGTTCTCCCTTACACTTGACAGTTCTGTTCTCTCTTTTCTCTGCTTGGTTTTTCTCAGGAATAAGATTATCCAGCCGATGGGGGTGACAGCAGATGGCCGCTTGGCGCCCCTCTGTGGCCAACGGAGGAACAGCTACCTGGAGGAGGAAGAGGAGGAACAGGAGATAGACTTTGAAGATGAACTGGATTAATACGGAAGACAGAAAGAGTTTTGGACAGGAAGAGGCAACAGGTGGAGCTGAAGAGCGAAGGAGAGCGAAACGGAAGGACAGAGGAAAAAGAGTGTAGTCCCAGATGCAGCTGGAAAGAGAAATGAAAGGAATTTAAGATGGATATTATAATACGCTTACAAATACATGGATATGAGATAATGTGCCAGGCAGCAGTGTTAGTTGTATATACAACCAGATGTGCAAGGATGCGTTTTTACTTGCATGCACATGTGCAGCCATACGAGCAGTACAAGTTAGAAGCAGACCTGCAGGAAATTCCACAGTAACATTAAAGACAGTGAGAGAACGAGGGAAGCAGAGAGAGGGAGTGCTAGAGAGAGAGGGGTAGAGTGAGGGGGGTGGAGAGAGAGAATAAGTAGATCGAGAGATGGACAGACAGAAAGAGAACATGAGAATCAGAGAGGGAGTGCAAGGGAGGGAGAGAGGGGGGCAGTGTCAGAGCGATGGGGGGCTGGAGAGAGAGAAGAAGTAGATAGATGGACAGACAGAGAGGGATAGAGAGAGAAGAAGAAAAGCAGATTGAAAGAGAAGAAATAAAGAGAAAAAAGAAGAGCACAAGAGAAAGTGAGAGAGAGAGAGGAAGCAAACAATGATAGAGCGAAAAAAGAAAGATAAAAAGCAGATAGAGTTAGAGAGGAGAAAGAGGGAGAGCGAGTGAGAGAGAGAGAAAGAGAGAGGGGAAGCGAGTGAGAGACAGCGAAAGGGTAAAAGACAAGGGGATAGAAAAAGAGGGAGAGTGAGAGGGGAGATATAGAGGGGTATAGCAAGAGAGTGGGGGGAAAATGGGGACAGAAAAAGAGAAAAAGCAGAGAGAGAGAAAGAGCAGATGGAAAGAGGGGGAGTTGAAAGAGAGAAAGAAAGGGAAGAAAAAGAAAGAGGTGGATAGAGAAAGAGAGGGAGGAAGTGAGGTAGAGAAGGAAAGAGAAAAGAGAGAGATAAAAATGGGAGAGAGAAAAAGAGAGAGAGTGAATAAGAGGGGGATAAAGACAGATTGAGAGGAAGCAGAGAGAGAGAGAGAGAGAGAGAGAGAGTGAGAGAGAGAGAGAGAGAGAGAGAGAGAGAGACAAAGAAAGACAGCCATCACCACGGATAGACAAACACACTTAGAAAACGCCGGCAGTGTTGCCATGGCTGCGTTGCTATGGTAACTACAGGAAATGTAGTTCTACAGATTTGAGGGATTTTTCTCCCTCCCTCCTGAGAGTGGAGTGTTTACCTTGAAGAGAACTGCTGAGGTTCAAATCTAATGCTGTACGCGCTGTAATGAAAGAATAATATGAGCTAAATAAAAACCATTTTCATTTCCTGTGTTCTCTGGGAGATGTTTTCATTTACAACATCATCAGCATCACACAGGAGCACGTGCGGCGGTGGGGTTGGTGCAGGCCGGGGTCCATTAACCAAATCAGGAGGTTTCAGAGCATTGCTTTGATTTCCCAGCGTCTTGCATTTGCTTCCAGAATAAGCTCTCTTTATTTCAGGTGCCACCATTCGTCTCCACAGCAGCAGCCCTGAAACCCAGGTGGGAAAAGGTCAGCATAAACTGAGAGTCAACAACAGCACAAAGAACTCCTCTTACTTCTCTATGAATTAGACGGAACCTTACATAGCTTTAGAAACAGTAAGATTACGGGAAAATGCGATCTGCTTAGTTTTTATGCATTTTGGACTGTTCTTTAAAACAATGTGAAGCACCCAGAAAATGAGATGCACTGTACTAAACTGTCAGGACACAGACAATGAAAGTATGTGCACAAAAATAAAAATTAAAACACTATCAATATTGCAAAAACTGAAATTCAAAATAAGTATCAGTAGGGATAATGTCAGTATTGATATTCCTCACAGAGCAAATGGCTACAAATTTGCTGCCCATTGTCTGAGACATTAACAATAGTTTTGCCATAAAACATATTTTAATATGCAGGTACATGCATTGTGATGCAAAATAGTCTCAAAAGAAAACTTTTTCAGATTTACTTCTCTTTCATCAGTATCAACATTACATATGAAAACTCAGCAGACACGTGTAGGTTCACTGCTCATTGTGGATAGCAAATCAAATGGCTATATTTGTGTTGTGAAAATGTCAACCCCTGGTTTCTTTCACTAGCAGTCAGTAGGTTTCTCTACAACGCACCATTTCATTAAATCTTTCATTAAGATTTCCCAGCTAAAAGACTAGAAAATAACCCTTCTGATGACATAGCTTGAAGGTGGAAGGAACTTTTGACAAACTACTAAAGCACTTTGAGGGCAAAGTATTTGAAACCAAATGTCACATTTGTAGCAACTAAATCAGTGGCTATGATAGCAGTCAAAATTTCTCTATCGCAATCATGGGATGTCCATTGTTTGTACGTTGTGTTCATAGATATACATACCTAGATGCCGTTGGATCCAGCCAGTCACGTAAACGGCGCCGCCATTTTAGGGCGGTCAACATCGCTGCTGGACTGCATTCAGTACCATTACAGAGCGGCAGTTTAAGAAAGATACTGTCCAAAATTACACTATTTCAAGAATATTGCTCTCAGAAAGCGGGATAGGATTATATAAGGGAGGGAACGCAGCGATCCACACTCATGTCTGTGTGATTCGTATTGTTTGTGTGATGTTCATGTAGATATGGCTGTGTGGTTGGTGAAGCACAGAGAACCTGTTGATGCGATTGTTTTTCCTCTGGTTTTATATTAAGCTTATTTCATTCAATAGTCCTTACACTCCTAGATATTCATAATAGATTAGCATCTTATTACACGAACCTTAAGTTAGGCTCTTATTTGCCAGCTTCTTGTTCGAAATTTCCTGTTCCACCTTAAATGGTGGAATAGGAAGCTAGCTTTCATCCTTCTGAGTATAAAGATTAGAAGTGATTCACACATTGATGAATTTGCTGATTGTGTTTTTACCGGATTTCGCGCTAAACTCACGTCAGGTGCAGACTGAATACTTTCCCGCTCAATGCAAGTGAATTTGTTCACAAGCGGATCTTGACCGCTCCAACATGGCGGACGCGCAAACGTATCGCCTCACATACAGAACAAGCAACGCGGCATCTAGGTATTACCGGGGTGATTAACGAAAACATAAAAAGGGGCGATATTATAGAAACGTCCTGTCTTTTGACTTTAACTAAAGATCTGACGGTTCAAGATCATATTTTTCACAAATTCGTATTACGGAAACACAACTTAATTTAGTAATCATATCGTACAGCATCTTATCTGAAGTTAGGAAATCTTAACCTACTCGATCGCAGTCGACAATCAACTGCCATGTCTGTTACCTAGCAACCGACCATAGGCGCACAGCTGAAACGTGAACACGTAAACAAAATAATCAAGTTAGTTAGCCAGACAGCTAAGGCTAGCTATCGTTACTGAGGTAAAAAGGTCAAACAAAACTAAAGTGCGATGAAGTTGAAGTTAATAATGTTGTGTCAGCGATTCGTGCTGTTTATCAGAGCGTCGTCGCGCCACAGTTTCAGTCTCCAATCCCAAACGCTTTAGCCGAGCGCGCTAACCTTATTCCTCCTAATAAACAGACATATGTTCAGCTCTGTCTCATCATTATTCACCACCATCACTGTAATATTTCATCATCAACATTAACTCACGAAGGTAATAAGAGGGGACGGTGGAGATCGAGTCCGATATTTTTAAAACGCTGTTAGAAAAAACCCTCACAAGTCAAAGCAACGTTTTCGATGCAGATAAATGTAACATCATCATGCCATTTATAGTGAACTGTGCTGCCTGTCACTGCATAAAACAATAGAACAGACGGTTAAAACAGAACTTAAGACACCTCTGTTTGTCTTAAAGTTAGTTAGGACAGAATTTAGAAAATTGTGTAATACTGTTTTCTTATCTAGAGTTAGTAGGTAAGATTATAAACACAAGAACTGTTATTCTGTAATAGCTTCCGTCCTAAAGTCAGTCCTAACTAAAATTGTCATGGTCACTAAACAAATAAGATTTCAGAGTTAAGAAATTTCTGTAATACAGCCCCAGAATACTAGACTACATAATAGGACAAATAACGTATTTAATGCTAGTTTTAGGAATGCCCCTTCAATGTGTAAAGTAATAGACCACTGTAGTCGTGCGTCATTCTGTAGTCCTCGTTATGCCCATATTAGGAACTCCAGGTCTAAGCCCCATTTCTCTATGGCAAAATGAATAGGGTTTTCAAAAAATCACCTCTATCGCCCCCTGTGTTAAATAATAATGTTCAGAACCCGATACGTTTTGTCCTGTGTACATTTTTCTCCTGAATACCACTGGATCCTCCAAATTACGAACTCGTAAAGAGCTATAATACTAATATTGTTACCTGCGAGCTAAAGCTACTGGGCATATTTGATGTCACTAAGCTACATGAAACTAAGGTGAGCTACGCTACCTTATCGAAATGTTCTACTGTACCCGCATAATTACAGGTATACCCGTAAATAAAACCTCTGAGCAGGATATTTTGATAGGCTAAAACTCCTTATCGAAAATACTACCCATGTTAAAACTACAAGGCTGAATTTAGCTTCTTTTTTTTGCAGCTTCTTGTTTGAATGTTCCCGTTCCACCTTAAATTGTGCAGCAGCTGTGACTAGCTATCACAAACGTTAGCAAACAAGTCAAAATACTGATCTCTTAGTTCGGTGAAACAGCAAAAATAATTTAATGTTACTCAGGTGTTCAGCGTAAATAATGAAACCTCACCATATCATGCCTTTCAACCCTCCATGAAATTGAAGTCAGCTTCTTTTTCACCAACTGCTTGTTCGAATTTTCCCGTTCCACCTTAAATGGCACAGCAGTTCAAACAAAAAGCTGGCAAAAAGTCAAACAAAAAGTGAAAAACTCAAACAAAAAGCTGGCAAATGTCCTCAGAAAAATGTTACCAGTATTAAAAATAATAATTATGATATTCTGAGATCCTAAATCAGCTGATCAGGGGGTGAGCAGTGATATTAAGCTGAGTCTGTACTGGATTAGCCTGAGTGCAGGTACGTTTGCAGATCTTTTCAAATCAAGCTAAAAGGAAAGATCTACCGTGTTTCACTGAGAATCAGATGAAGAACAGAGAACTGCAGCGAAAACCTGCTGATTTTGTTCTGACTTCTTTTCATCTGCCCTCAGTCTGAACATGGAAATGTACACTGACAAAGCCGGATTAAGGAGGCTGCCAGTTAAATGACATGAATTCAGTGCACAGTAGCTTTAGCTCACATGTAGCAATATTCATATTTTAACTCTTTAACAACCTCGTAATTCAGAGGATCCAGTAATATTCGAGAGAAGAATGTTCACAGGACAAAACGTATCGGGTTCTGAACATTTTTATTTAACACAGAGCCGATTTTTCGAAAACCCTGTTCATTCTGGCCACAGAGAAAAGAAGCTCAGACCCAGAGGTCCTAATATGGGCATAAGAACATGGCGCGAACTACAAAATGACGACACAACTACAGTGGTCTATAAAGTCTTGTCTCTCATAGATGCTGCTGATGTTCATTAAACTTTCAGCTCCGGCCACCGAAATAAACTGGCTTTACAAAATGCTCAGTGCAGACAAATGTTTGAGGCCTGACAATATGAATGTAGGTCAATTTTAAACAGAAGAAATGGATTATGGAAATCATACTTACATAAATCAAACCAGGGAAATCTTTTAGCCACTAGACATTAAAGAATTTGGTTTCCATTTCTAATAAAAAGAGATTTTAGCAACAGAAGCTGCCCAGATGAGCTAATGCTAAGGCTAACCCTGGTAGCTAGTCCGTGCAACATAACATGCTGAGGGGATTTGTCATGTTTTAGCAAAACTGTGAATCAATATAAATAATTGCATGTGTATAAGAGTATTAATATTTATCTCCAAGCAGAATACTTTTAATCACAAATGTGAGTTTGACTGTTGACTTGTCATGCTAACTGTTGGCAGCTAAATCAGAGCGGATTCATTAGATGAGAGCCCCCATGTCAAAATATTTCCGCAACGCTCACACCAGTAGGACATCCTGCCCATTTCACCAACCTTTAGTGATTTTATCCCCCCCTTTAATATTTTAGCAAACATGTAGACATTTTATTGATTGTTATGTGGGTATATAGAGACTAATCATACATTTTCCATTGAGCTGTTTTTACAAAGGAACTGTTTTGCTTGTTCCCAACTGCTTAGGGCTGGGCAATATGACAATATATATTGTTAGGGTCATTCTACAGAAACATCAATTTTTGTGTCCCTAGCATTTACAGATATATTACACTTAAAAAACATGTTAGGGTTACAATTTATTTATATTTTAAAATAAAACAATAAGTTATTTTAACAATTACACCTTCTTGAGCCTCAATTTAGCAATATTGGTTTTTAAATCAATCATCTAGAATTCCGAGCACCACAGAAGAGCTCATCCGCACAGTCATGTGTGAAGGGTTTTTAACTACAATAATCTATACATGACTATGGAATATATAAATCAAATGATATAAAGAAAACAAATGCCAAATAAATATCATAAAGTATAATGAAAGTTGTTGTCCCCAGGAATCGTGTCACTGGTGTTACTGCATAACAAAAAATCTCTTATTTTGAAATAAAAATCACACTGACATCACTTGACTTCCTTTTAACTAGTTTCTGAGGATCTATGAAGAAAAGCACATGGTGAGTCCACTGTGTCTTATCAGAGATTTTCTCATTTAGCTCATGATTTCATATGAAGCTTAGTTGAAGTCACTGGTGTGACCGACTTTATTAATTTAATCCATTTTATTAATTTAATCCATTAGAATACAAATGGATTAAATTACATATTTTAGTGGATATTCCATGATTGACAACATCTGGTTTGATGCTTTTTAGCAGCCGTTTTGTAAAATGCATTTTTCATTAAAAATGTTACTGATGTTAACTTTATGTGTAACACCAATGAGGATAGGTAACACCAGTGACACCTATGGAGAGATAGAGAAGTGGACGTTTCTGTAGAATGACCCATTATTGTGATAAATTATGTCACAATACTGTACTCTTTTCTGAAAGTACTCTGCATATCATCAGTGTAGAACACTGACCAACTGCAATTTTCATGATTAGAGAACAAAATTAGTCTCATTTAACTTGATTTAGTGCAACACAGTATTCCAAATATTGAATAAAAATCATTGTATTTACATTTTTTGTAGCACTACTGGTACTTTTTTCTGTTTCGACTGATCAGATGTCTGAAAAAATAAATGTCATATCACTTACAGTAAAAATGTCTTTAAATATTGCAATCTTTAACTTTTGCCACCTCTACCACTCTCTTGAATAGGCATGCTGCATTAAGCAATTAAGAAAAGATAACATAATGATCTTAATATTGTTATGTGATGTTATTTATCATTATAAATCAGATTAAAATTAGGGTTTGTGATACAGTGACCCAGATATAGTTTAGCTTACCTTTTAGCCAGCACACTTCTGCCTGTTAATAGTTTTGACATACAGAGTGTCTTACAGTTTAATCCAAATCTGTTTCACTTTCAGGAATGAAATGACAACAGTGTGCGTCTTAATTACAAGGTTCCCAATAACTCTTTTGCACATTTCTAAGACTAATAATTCAGGATATTTACTGCAGTTCTCACTACAGGTTTGTTGTAAAGTGTTTTGTCAGGGTACTTTCAGAGCCGGTCTAAGGGGAGCCTGGCCATTTCCTATTGAGTCCTCAATAAATGGGGGTGAGTGGAACCTTCTTTCTTCAACTTGGAAAGTATAAGCATGTGTTTCTTTAAAGAATCATATAAAACCTACAAGGGTTGAGTTTTTCTACAGCAAGCAGGTTTTGGCCTATAGGACGCTGATATTACTGCTGCTGAGGGCTGAGTAGTTGGTGAGCTGATCAGCTCATTGGCCAAAGGAGCCAGTTGTCACTGCTGCACTAGTAACAGCTAGCAATAGCTAACTGGCTCAAATTAGCTAAACGTCTTGCTTGTTAGTTATAGATAACATAACGAAACAATGAAAAACTTACCTGAAATCTCATCGTTGCACTGATAAGGCCACAGCTGTGCTAGCAAGCTAGCTATAATCTAAATATGTACAGGCAAAAAGTGCTACCATTAACTAGCAAATGTTGTGCTGTTAGCAAAACAAGATAAGCAATGCTGCTATTTTGTTTGTGTCATGATTTGGATCTGTGAAGGACTGAAGCCACATACATCTCCCTGTAGAGCAGTGGTCTTTAATTAAAGCTCAATAAGGTCCAGTTGAAGAAAATGTCCTCAAGCAAACGTCCGGAACATCATAATGTCTAACTTGCATTATGATTCAGTGCCATATACTGTATAGAGAAGTAGCCTAGTAGGTCTATCAACATCTTATGTAGTCGACAACTGAATATCAAATCAAATAAAGTACAATTCAGTCATATTTTAATAAGATTTATTGTCAGTTTTCTCTTTTTAGAGCCATGTAAAATATTCTGGCTCACTTTCTTCTCCAACTGTTGTGTCTCGCCCCGTCCCTGTGTGTGCGTCACTCAGTCCAGTCTCAGTGCTCATCGTAATGGACATCTGATCGGCTGAGCAGCGTCATGTGTTGTATTTACAACGCATGCGATTGGTCTGTGAGTTTCCCAGGGCGCTAAATCGGGACCGTTATGACTAGAAATGATACGCCGATTAAAATAGGACGACCTCGTCGAAATAAAATAATTATCCGTAGTTTATCAGTTGTAGGTCCAGGTCCGCATAGGACAGCGTCTGGGTCCGGACTCAGAGGCTTATCTAACTTTTGATCTGCAAAACGTGTCTCTGCCATTGAAACCAACAAAAAAAAGGCACCTCGGCCTGCAAAACCACATCCAGTGTGAACCCCAAGGTCGTTCTCGCTAATTGACGCCATGAATGTTCATAAAATACTATTAACTGTTAGAAAGTCCTTTAACTGGAGTTCAAAATATGTAAAAATTGCTATATTTTTGCTTTTAAACTCGTTATTAGACTTTCTAACACTGTATCCTGTACATTCATGATGTCAGTGAGCACAAACTTCACTCAGCCAATGAGCTTATCAGCTCCCTAACCAATCGCAGCACTCAGTAGCACTAATAGTAGCCAATCAGCACTCAGTAGCATTAATGCTAGCATCCTACAACTCAATACCTGTTTGCTGTAGAAAAATGCAAAGATACAGTTAATTTTCTTGAATTTTTTAAATGAAATACATCCTCCTACTTTACAAAATCAAAGGAAACCTCTGCATAAATGGTAAGAAATATAATTTTAGTTTTTAGCCATTTAGCTCCATTCACCCCTATTCATTGAAGATTGCTCGCAGGCGCCCTCTAATGTTTTGCAGACATGTTCCTGATATAACAGGAGATAAAGGAAGTAGCCAGGCTTCCCTTAAAGGAACCTATTCATTTTTCGCTCAGGAGCGCCCCCAGTGTCTGAGCAGCAGCTCTCACTACACACTCTCTGTTTCTCCATCACTTCACAGAAGAAAACAGACATGGATGTGACTGGCTGGCACTGGATGTCTAACCCTTTTTTTTTACTACAGGACTCAACAACAAAAACACAAAAAAATCACTTTTTTGCTTGTTCCCGCCGTTTTTCATCCTTTGAACATTTTCTGTTTTTATTTGCGCTTGTCAAATACAGGAGGGCTCATGATCAGATGAGGGATCGGGAGCTTGAGACTGAAGCAGCTGTACAATATTTACAGAGAGATCAAATGAATGGGCAAACCTCCAAAATAATAATAATAATAACAATAATAATAATGCTAATAATAACAAGAATAATTATCATAGTAAACGACCAACAGATAAAAAAAACGAACACAGACGAGTTCACACATTAAAAATTTGTTACATCCCTCTGCACCATCACGCTTTCTTAGAGAAAACGAACAGATACTCCACTTTTTTCTCTTTTTCTTTTGAAGAACAAACAGAAAAAACACGTCTTTTTGACTTTAAATACATTTTCCCACGCTCTTGTTTTTTTTCTTCCCAAGAACAGAAATGAATCCACACACACAGCTTACACTCTCCCCTCAAAGTCCGTGTCCGACCCCCTTTAGTTTCCTTCAGTTTTGGGAGGGGGGGCAGGAAGAGCAGGGAATTATGGGTAGATCATTTCATGTACACCCTAATAAAACAGGAGTATTATTATTCAAAATAATAACAGCAAACTGCCCATGCTTTCTGCGCGTGGGGGGTGTACTTGTTAAAAATGTCCTTGTATAAATAATACAAATCATAATCATCAATAATACATATTTATATATTTAAGAGTGTGCGTGGAACGTAGCGTTCAAAGCTCACCTCTGGGCTCGAGAGGCTCTAACCCTGTTCACATTGGCACTGACTCTATCCTTCTTCTTCATCTACACACATTCTCTCTCCTCTTTCTGCTCCGTCTCATGTTTTTTTCCTCCTCTTCCACTGAGGAGCATTTACATCATACAAAAAAGAGGAAAAAAAAACAAAAACAAAAACAAAAAAGTGTCACAGAAAAAAAAATAAAAGCATTTTCAAGTTACGATGCAACAGCCCGGAACACTGCTTTGCTCCTCACACACACACTGTGTTAGGAAAAATGGTACATTCTGACTTCCTGCCGCTCAGAGGTCCACAACGGTCCAGTCCGCCGTCCGCTCAGCATGCGCCGTAAGGGCGCTTTGACCTTCTGACCACCACCACCCTAAGCCTTGTTGCTCAGGGTCAGCAGCTCGATGAAGGAGTTGAAGAGGGTCTCCAGCCAGCCCTGGTTGGCCATACACTGCTGGACCACCTCCTCCTGACCGGGGTCCTCCGCTGCCTGCTCTATACTGTCCGTCTGAGAGAGAGAGAGAGAGAGAAAGAGACACAGTAGTGACACTACTGCTGTGTGGTACAGATAAAATTCAATATCATAATTAGGGCTCAGCATTATGTCAAATAAACAAATAAAAATGCTGCATTAAAAAAAGAATTTGTTGTTTCAATTTTAAAAAGTCTTGAATTTATTGACCTTCAAATAGTGAGCCAACAGAATTAACATTAAAACAGCATTTTTTAAGTGTGTAAAAAATAAATTTGAAATAAAATAAAAAAAAATAATAAAATAAAATAAAATAAATGTGGTACACAAAAGCATAAATAAATAAACATTTTTATTTCTGGATGTATACACTTCTAAATGTATTTATTTATTAATATTACATTAAACCATTAATTATTTAATTAGGTCTCCCATAAAGTGTCAAAAGATAATATGTGTGTGTGTATATATATATATATATATATATATATATATACACACACACACACATATTATATATACATAGTATATATATATATATATATATATATACACATATTACACATATATATATATATATATATATATATAGATATATAATTTTTGCTTTTATCCACTCTTTTACTTAGTTATTCCCATATATTATTAATTTTACATTTTTATTCTTTTATTTATTAATTTTTATTTTAGTACTTTTGGTCCACCATAGTGCTGCTGTCAGAACAAAACCTCGTATCTCCAAAATGTTAACTTTACTTTTATTGTAAGTCAATGAAACCAGACTTTTTTTCTGAATAATTTTGGGCTGTTTCTTTTGGGCCATTCATTATGAAATTTACACACAATGTAAAGGACAACAGGCATTTTCAAAGTCAAAAACTGAAAAACAAAAATGGAGATATATAATGTTACTTTTTTTCCAATTCCTTATTTTACACTCTCTAGCTGAGATCCTTTTTATATCTTGAACCAAATGTAATAAAAAAAGTCAAAAAAAAAAAAGAGGGAGAGTGTCAGATTTGTCAGAAATTAGCTGCTCGGTTAGAAAACGTTCCAGATGGACTGACTGTCAGAACTCTATCAATTATTTTTTCTTGGCAAGTCTATACGAAAAGGACATATCTCTACCTCCTTCTTGCAGTGCAGGAAGGTGTGATATTTATAATGATGCAGAGAGTGATAGAGACTGTAGATCCGACACGTCTCTGTCGAGAGCTTCAGATCCTGGATAAAGAGAAGGAGAGAGAGAGAGAGAGACGGTAAGTCATTCAGACAGAAAGCAGAATAAACTGAATCCAAAGCAAGTGAATAAAGCCTTTTCAGACCGGACAGTGATGTTAGTTCATTTTAGAGCTCGGTGCAGCTTGCTGTACTTGCCTGTTGCTTAGGAACGCTCCTTTTGACGCGATTGAGGGTTTTGCGGTTGTAACCCTCCCCTCCGAGGCGCACTTTCACTGTGCCGGATTCCAGAGCATCAGCAGTCATCTGAGGGAACATGTGCAGCGCCTCCTGCACGGCACACACAGACACGGACGCTCCACTGAGATACAGACCAGCCTCGTCTTTGTCTAAAGGAATAATGCTTTCCCTGCGCAGTTTCAATTGTTTGCTGCCTCAAAACATCTGAGTCACACCTGAGTCACATGTACTTTGCTGCCCCAACATACCTGCTACAGCTCAGGAAGGATTATAAGCTGATTAGGGTCAGATGTGTTGAGGCAAAAATCAAAGAAAATGCCTCGTCAACTGGGGTTCCCATCTCTCCCCTTACACCCCTCATTGCAGCTCAACACAGAGTCACAACATTACATCACAACAATCACACAGAGACAACAGTGTCCTAGTCAACCTGTAGTTAAGAGTTACAGGGAAAAATTCTATTTTATTTGATTACGTTAAGTAAAAATATCGGAGTCGTTTTCCATTCCACCGAAAAGAATGGTCAGTAGGGGGCCAACAAGAGATCCGCAGCCAGTTGCACCAGCTGAACGTAAGTTTGATCTTAACTTGGGATGTAAAGTCCATCCTAAACTTCATGTTGAGAGAAGTTAGTTTAAAACTAGCGACACACAGAATTTTGGTTGCACCACAGACACTTACGGTACATCTTAACTAGTAGAACATAAAGCGATCTTAGTTTAAAACACATTCGCACAGAATGACGTTTTCACTCTGCAGTCAATCAGTAAAGCTACCCAACATAAAAGGGCAACAATACATGCAGTGACATGGCCTGCATTTCTCTCTTTTCGTGATACATTAACTTTGCTTAAGGCGTGTCAGTCATATTAGCTACAATTCAGAAAGAGACTGTTTTATAATAAAGTGGTGTCCTCAAAGCGTCCGTCTCTTGTATGTGTGTTTATTCTGTTCTGCTGCTGGATTGTTCCGATGTTCAAACTGGGCTCTTGTGCACAATATTTTAATGGCATTTTATCAGTGAACGATCTGTAACGTTAGCGAAGCTGCACTAATGTAACTGCTATTCAAATCTGCTGAATGGCAAAAAGGTAATCATAGCTATGTTGATTATATTTTTAAAATAATCTGTGTCATGTTTTGTATGATAATACGGTCACTGTCACACAACCTGAGCACTGATGGAGCTGCTCTTCTTGCTCTACACACAGTTGACTTGAATAGTGTCGCCCACCAGATTTTGGAACGACACGGTAGTAAAATATGTAGGACTCAGGCCTCCATTTGTCTGTGATGTGTTGCAAATCTGTCTGCTAGGAGGGCTGTGATCTTTTCTATCTCCGATCAATGAAGTCTCCAGTGAGTGAGCGTAAGCTATCCTGAAGAACTGGTTGCCAATGCAAACTGAGACATATTTCATTTTCTTGCAAGTTTTCCCATCGATCAAATCTACCCAGTCAATTTAAATTATATTTATGGCAGAACTTAAAACTACATTGAAACTACGTTACTTGGTGCAACTGGTTAAATTCTAGTAGCTCGTAAACTTGAATGTAGTGGCAGTTTATGTTCAAACTAAGCTACAATCGAACTTGCGTTCAGCTGGTGCAATCTGGCTGCTGCTTCTGATACACCAACAAACACACACAGTAGATGGGAAAGTTCCCAAGGGAAGTTCATCTCCAGGACATGAAGTTGAGCTTGCTGTCCTACGCCAATTTAAAAGGTAGGGATACTCCAGGGAAGCTGAGGTGGGGTGCAAGGGGGGTGCCTCGCCTCCTTTCATCAAAAATTATCCCCTGGTAAACCTGGCATGTCCGTTTTTTATCTCTTTTGGATTAATGTGGTTACGTTGATATAACTTACAATACAATTTTATTCCATCAAAAGCTCTTTTTCCTGAAATAATACGGTAAGTACACATAGTTCATGACGACACCCCATTGAATGTTTTTACAATTCAACCACCGGGAAACACCAATCTAGTATTCGGACATGAACTAAAACAGTGGTACATAAACCAAATGGATCTGCTTCTCCACAGACGAAAGTCTAAAGTCAATGGGAGCCAGTTTTACCTGGTGCTGAGCGCTCATGTTGATCCTCCGCAGCAGTCGTCGTTTCTGTTCGTTCAGAAGGCTGTCAATCTTCCTCATGGGTGGGAGATATAGCTCATCTAAAGAAAGAGAGAGGAAGTCAGCGCCCACACATGCAAAGGTTCAGGCAGACATGTCAAAAACAATGCCCTATTCACTACATAGTGATCTGAAAACAACCCTTCTCTTACAACCCCACAGTCAACCCACTGATGGGACACCCATAATGCACTGTGTCATTTGGTTCAAAGATTCACACGGAACCTCTCTGAGGGGGACAGTCATAAAGGATATTGTTTTAAAGCAGAATTCCTGCAATTTCTGCATAATACCATAACTGAGCTGCAAAATGTCACTCAGAGTGGTTTGATGTGAAGTGATTCATTGTAAAGAAACTTAATGACTCAAATTTCTTTACAGCTTTGATAGGAACCGGAACCAGGGGTTACAATGTCTACAACTCTAATATGGCCATTTAAATTACTATCCAAAACCACCAGTGAACCTATACATGTTTTATATGTAATGTTGATCATGGTAAACTTAAAAAAAAAATTTTCTTTGGGGAATATTTCGTCTTGCATGTATTTCACACTGCATGTATTTCTCTGCCTTGATTGTTTAAAAAAAATTAGAACAAAAAAATCTCATAGCTATCATAAAACTGTCTCAGGCGTCAGTCAGAATAATCTCCATTTAATGTTATAACTTTCTGTGAGGGAAAGTTAACTCTAGCTTTTAGAGGCATTAAACTCTTCAGACATCTGGTTCCTATCACCAACTCTGTGAACAATTCTGACTCCACATACTCCACACAGTTTTTCAGACCAAACCACTCTAAATGAACTTTTACATCTCAATGATCGAATTATGCAGGACAATTGGTAGACTTCCCCATAATGACGTGCATTGCCCATATAGGTTAAGTGCACAAAGTCATATACTTAAATCACAAACATTTATTTAATTTTTCACAATTATAGTGTTCTATATAGTACTCCAATATAAGGAATAGTGAACAGCGTCTATTTCTGTGACCCATTATAGTGTTTCTATGTAGTGCTCCATTGTAGGGAATAGTGATTAGGTGACCATTTCTTTTCACTGTAATATTGTGCTATGCAGTGCTCCAATATAGGGAATAGTGATCAGGATCTATTTCTGTTCACTGTAATAGTGTTCTATGTAGTGCTCCATTGTAGGAATAGTGATTAGGGTCCACTTCTGTGCCCTATAATAATGTTCTATGTAGCGCTCCATTGTAGGAATAGTGATTAGGGTCTGTTTATGTGCCCTATAATAATGTTCTATGTAGTGCTCCATTGTAGGAATAGTGATTAGGGTCTGTTTATGTGCCCTATAATAATGTTCTATGTAGTGCTCCATTGTAGGAATAGTGATTAGGGTCCATTTCTGTGCTCTATAATAATGTTCTATGTAGTGCTCCATTGTAGGAATAGTGATTAGGGTCCATTTCTGTGCTCTATAATAATGTTCTATGTAGTGCTCCATTGTAGGAATAGTGATTAGGGTCCATTTCTGTGCTCTATAATAATGTTCTATGTAGTGCTCCATTGTAGGAATAGTGATTAGGGTCCATTTCTGTGCCCTATAATAATGTTCTATGTAGCGCTCCATTGTAGGAATAGTGATTAGGGTCCATTTCTGTGCCCTATAATAATGTTCTATGTAGCGCTCCATTGTAGGAATAGTGATTAGGGTCTGTTTATGTGCCCTATAATAATGTTCTATGTAGTGCTCCATTGTAGGAATAGTGATTAGGGTCCATTTCTGTGCTCTATAATAATGTTCTATGTAGTGCTCCATTGTAGGAATAGTGATTAGGGTCTATTTATGTGCCCTGTAATAATGTTCTATGTAGTGCCCCATTGTAGGAATAGTGATTAGGGTCTGTTTATGTGCCCTATAATAATGTTCTATGTAGTGCTCCATTGTAGGAATAGTGATTAGGGTCTGTTTATGTGCCCTATAATAATGTTCGATGTAGTGCTCCATTGTAGGAATAGTGATTAGGGTCCATTTATGTGCTCCATAATAATGTTCTATGTAGTGCTCCATTGTAGGAATAGTGATTAGGGTCCATTTATGTGCTCTATAATAATGTTCTATGTAGTGCTCCATTGTAGGAATAGTGATTAGGGTCTATTTATGTGCCCTATAATAATGTTCGATGTAGTGCTCCATTGTAGGAATAGTGATTAGGGTCTATTTATGTGCCCTAGAATAATGTTCTATGTAGTGCTCCATTGTAGGGAATAGTAATTAGTGGAGTGTTTTGAACACAAAAGCATTCCTTCCTTCAGCAAAAACTCCTCTCCACTCTGCCTTACTCTCTTTTCCATTTTTCCTTCCCTTTCTCGCTCCACACCCCCTTCCACATCCTTCACTCTTATCTATCCTCACTTTATCAGCTATCCTCCTTCATCACTTTATCATTCTCCACTCTGAGTTGATCATTCTGCCCTGTCCTCCACTCCCTTGCTTCATCATTCCTTCTTTCTGTCCCTGCAGTTTTCTCACTCACCGTTGGTGTCCTCCAAAGCCTGGATCATGTCGGGGTCGAGTGCCGTGCTGACCAGCATTTCCACATAACTGCGGAACATCTCGCGCATCGCTCGACTGTTTAACCCACTGCGCACTGAACCTGTGAGGACACATAAACACAGCGTTAACAAACACGTACAGGCACATGTACACACAGAGCTGGCCCGTCTGATGGGCTGTGTAAGCTGTAAACTGGGGCCTGGCATGGTAAGTGGGCCCCCTTGTGGCAATTATATTTTTTTAAGGGCCAATATCAAAGAAAACAAAAAAATTATCTTCACTTTTTGTAAATAAATTGTTGGTGGGGGAAATTTTCAATATCTCATGTCTCATGTAGGGCACTTTGTAACTACTGAATAACACATACTAGTTATTAAATAATTTAGAGTAGTACTGAATACTGCATGGTTGTTCCTGATGTTACTGATGTTATGTCTTAAAGGGGAATTCCACCAACCTTTCAAATTTTCTGCATAATAAAATGTTTGAGATGTAAATAAAGTCATTCAGAGTGGTTTGGTGTGAAATGCTCTGTTCTAGAAAAACTTACTTAGTTAGAATTGTTCACAGTGGTAGTGATAGGAACCAGACGTCCAGATGGTTACATCACATAAAAGGTTACTACTACTTAAAAGGTTATGAATACATTGCTTGAGGCCTAAAACATTGTTTTATGATAGTTATGGAGGGTGCTGAGAGGCAAAATAGTCCCCAAAGAAAACATTTTTTCAGATTTACTGCTATTTTACCATCATCAACCTCACATATAAACACTCACTGGTACACTATTGGCTTCGGCTAGTAAATACAATGGCTATGTTTGAGTTGTAGACATCATGACCCCTGGTTCCCATCACCACCAATGTAAAGAAATCAGTCAGTAGGTTTCATTACAATGAACCATTTCTTATTAACCTTAAGCAAATTTCCCTTTAAAGTCATTAAATGAATGATCAATCTGCATGTTTAGGTTTTAAACACATTTAAACATGCGCTCACCTTCGTCTTCACTGGCCGGTGATGAGTCGGACTCGGAGGAGGGAACTTCAGGAACTTCCTTCAGCCACTTCTTCCTCTTCTTGGGCGGAGGCTCTGCTTTGACTTTAACAGGTCGGCTCCGAGCTCTCTCTGCTCTCCTTTCTCCTCCTTTCTTCTCCTCCTTTACCCTCCCTCGCTCCGCGCCTCCTCTCCTCTCCAGCTTCTCCTGATTCTGCCTCTCCTGGAGCTTCCTTTCCTTTTCCCTTTCTTTCTCCTTCTCCTCTCTCTCCCTCTCTCTTTGCTTCTCCCTCTCTCGTTCCCGTTGATTCTCCCTCTCCCTCTCTCCTGTTTCTCCTTCTCTCGCTCCCTTTCTCTCTGCTTCTCTCGCTCCCTCTCCTTCTCTTTCTCCCTCTCTCGTTGTTTTTCCCTCTCTTTTTCTCTCTCCCTCTCCCTTTGCTTCTCCCTTTCCTTCGCTCTCTCCTTCTCTCGCTCCTTTTCCCTTTGCTTCTCCCTCTCCCTCTCTTTTTCTCTCTCCCTCTCCTTCTCTTTCTCCCGCTCCCTTTGCTTTTCCCTCTCCCTCTCCTCCCTCTCTCTCTCTTTTTGCCTCTCGCGCTCTCTTTCCCTTTCTCTCTCCTTCTCCTTTTCTCTCCTCTCTTTCTCCCGCTGCTCTGCCTCCTTCTCTCGCTCCCTTTCCCTCTCCTTTCTTTCCCTCTCTTTCTCCTTTTCTCTCTCCCTCTGCTCTCGCTGCTCTTTCTCTCGCTGCCTTTCTCTCTCTTTTTCTCGCTCCTCTCGGTCCACGCGGGGCGGAGTTTGGACAAGTGCCGTCGGCTTAGGGAGTGATTGGCGCCTGGCCAGAGGAAACAAACGCACACTACTGTTTGAAAGGTTGACATCACTTATAATATTTTTTGTCATTTTATTCAATAATAACTTATAATTTCTTTTTTTTACACAACAAAAGGTAAAGTGCTATGCAAAAGTCAGAGACCACTCTTCATTCAGACTACACAGAAGCATCAACAGCTGAATGGATTTTTGTGAGTTCAGACCATGGCTTCAACATGGTGGTGGTAGTATGAGAGAAGACTGATTGAGGGAGGGGGGAGAACTCTGAGAACTTGGGCTGGAATTCTGGGGAGCTTCTGTCTGTAGCTAGAAGGCTGGATCCCCATCACAGCTGCAGCAGGACTGATGTAGGACCGAGGAAGAGGGAGGAGATTGGGTGGTGGTGGGGATTGCGAACGCTTCATCACAGAAATGGAAGGTGAGGATGTGAATTTATAGGGCGTTAGATTGGAAGAAGGGGGGGTTTCAGACATATTCCTCCCCCCAAAATTCAGTCATAACATAACTACATATCATTTTTTCACTAGTTAGTGTGTCCACTCTTTGCCATTAATACAGCTTTTGTTCTTTTCAGGAGACTCATTTTCAGTTTTTCAAGGAAATCTGCAGTCATACCTCCAAAGTTCAGTCTTGGAAGTTGGTTGCATTTTCTGCTTCTCACGATTACAAATTTAGACCCATCAGTTCTACATCTCAGATGTCCAGTTTTGGTGCTCTACAGTGCTTTTTGTCTGTTTCCTCTTCTCAGTGAGTGCGTTTACATGCACTTAATAACCTGATAACTGCAGAAAATTAGATTTTGTCAGTAATCCGATCAATGCGTTTATATGCACTTGAATAATCAGATAATGTGAAACTCTACATGAGTCAGGCAGTAATCAGATTTCAACAAGCGAATAAACTCACAGAAGAAGATGTGAGGTAAACATAATGTAAAACTCAAACTTCATGCTGTGGCTTTAGTTTAAAAACATTGTGCCACTTTACCTGAAAATATGAACAGACAGCATCTAGAAGATGAAGAATATTTAAATTCTTAATTTAGTCAAGGATGTATTTGGTTTCAGCGCCTCTCTAAAAGTGTTTTGCTGCGTCTCGCAGCGACGCTGCTTGCTTATTTCTGGTACTGCGGTCTGTTTCACACATGCGCAGAATGAGAAATCTGAAAGAAATCAGAGTAAGAGTTTACATGCACTAAAGAATCTGATTACTGAGCTAAAATCCAGCTTTCTTTATTGGATTTCTTAATCTACCTACATCTAAGAAATTGGAGTGTGCTATTTACATGACCATTTGAATAATCAGATAACTGCAGAAATCTGATTATTGAGTAAACGCACTCAGTGAGGCTTCTTGACAGCTACACATCCTTTCAGACCCATAGCGCTGAGTTGTCACAGTGGAAGGATGGACAGAAACACCTGTGGATGTTTTCAGATCTGAAGCAGCTTGATTTTCTGTAGTCCTGTTTGTCTGATGGGGACAGTTTTGGTGGTCTACCAGATCTTGTGTGGTTGTTAGGAGTCCCGATTTTCCATGTTTCTTTAAAGGGCCAATGTACTGCGTTATGCTTATGTTTTATTTTTTTATCCTTCAGGTCCACTTATGAAGTAGGTTTATGTAACAAAAACACAGATCGCAGATCATTTTTTCAATCTCTCTTTACCTCTTAAGAATAAACAGGCTGTTTTTGTTACTGTGTTCAGTCCTGGCTGAAACACTCCTTATAACTTCAGTGTAAGTGGGTGGGGCTAAACTGCTGTAAAATGAATAGGGAGATATATGTAAATGTGTTGGATGTGACATCACAAATACAACAAATTCAAATCAGGCTGTTTTTACAGGTTAATTAATTTCTTTTAAGGGTTTAAGGGTTTTTTAAGGGTACATTTCAAACGATGTGTACAGTTTTTCTCTAATTTTTCTTTGACTTTCCCGCTTTTTACGCAAGTCTATTTTCTTATATCTAATCTCCTCTCAAATATCTCCTTTAGTCATCTTAGATTCACATTAGAAAGACAAGCTAATGTGAATTTGGGTAGTTGTTCGTGTGAATATTAGTGTCTCTTTAAAGGGGAGTATAATGTTAATGAGATCTTTGGGGACAGTTTTTAAGTAACTGGTTGTTTTTTTTTAAGATTGGAAGGATGGAAGAGTTAAAGTGGCAGCAGATGTACAAAAGTAAAGAATGGACAAATTAAATACTGAATGATTTGATATTATGATTGCTGTTGGAGGCTTCTGTGCAGGTAATTTGTATTAATATATTGCTGCTGTTGGAACAAAACCTCGCATCTCCATTTTTGTCATTTTTCGGTTTTTGTCGTAATTTGAAAATGCCTGTTGCTTTCTACATTGTGTGTAAATTTCAAGAAGACTGGACCAAAAGAAATGACCCAAAACTACTTGAAAAATGTCTGGTTCCATTGACTTACATTAAGAGTGAAGTATGTTTTTTCCTTTTCCTGTAAAGTTACCATTTTGGAGATATGAAGTTTTGTTCCGACAGCAGCGATATATGTATTTGTATTAGTATAAACAAATAAATATATGCTGAAAAATAAATAACTTGGCCATTTTGAATGGAAATGGAATAAAGGAGAGGGTAGTCTCTGACTTTTGCACAGTACAGTGCTTTTAAATGCTCTTTAAATGATTGAATTATAAATAATATACTATTATACTATTATCCATTTGAAGTACTATATGTACTCAATATCTGATCACCACTTGTAAAATATAGAAATTCTGGATGCTAGTTCTATTAAAATTTCATCCTTAATGTTCTACAGCTGTCCAAAATACTGTGTATCATCATTCTGCACACAACTGAAACTGCTAAATCTTTCCAGCTTCCCACAAATGATTTGAAACCTATGACGTTGTATATTAGTAGCATCATATTAAAATTACTGTACACTTCTGCAACAAATTTGGTTTTACATGATTGAAAACCCAGATTTAAACCTTTAGGATCGATCGGCTGTCCTTTACCTGAGTGTAATTCCAGCTCTGTGCCAGGGTTTCCGTGAACACACTCTGACGTAATCCTTTTTATTCACGTTTTCCAAGAACTTCACATACAAGCGCTGATAACGCATCTTTGCATCTCCGAAGTAGCCCAGATACTGCCGTTGAGTGACAGGAGAGCGGTTGAGGGGAGAAAGGGGGAAAAAATACAGCTTATTATGTCTTTCAGTGCTGGCAAGAGACAGAAGCATTCACTGTGCAGGAAAATGGAAGACAAAAGACTCGCCTGACCGCTGGAGGAGGTCATGAAAGGGGAATGTGCGTGACACTCACATTACTAGTAGCACAGAACTGCCGCTGGCCATCTTTGATCTCAGGGGCGAATTTCTGCAATAGAGCTTTCTGTACCCTCCAAATCGGAGGAGGCTCTCTGCCCGTCTGTAAAGCCAGCTAGAAGAGCAAATAGAGAGAGAGAGAGGGAGAGAGAGAGAGAGAGAGAGAGAGAGAGAGAGAGAGAGGAGAGAGAGAAAGAGAGAAAGAGAAAGTCAGGCGACATCAGTAATTTACTGTATTCGTACTGTATTATAAGGGTAATTCCATGATTGGGTTGCCAGTTGAATCCCACTGATATTATATTTACAAGCAAAATAAAAGTAGAAGACATCTTAAAAATAGATAAACTGTTCTTCACAACAACCCATCAGCATGCTTCAGATATGGTAATACACCATTTTTTCTGCACAATTTACGTATAAGCGCATGAGTTTATTACATATTGGGAAAAAAAACATATATAAAAATATATATATATAATGTGCTATAACTTTAGCACAGGCTGCATTTTGTCCTCCAATATGGTAAATTCAGCGAAAAAACAGTGATGTGCATAATGTACATAATTGTTCTCTGTAGAGGATGTGTATTTGACCAGGAGCACACAAAGTTCTATGGTATTATGGAATAACTGGAATTTGGAGATTTTATTTACAGCAATCTGCTATAAATAAAATGAGTTGGAATAAAAATTCATTACATTAATGTGCATTAGAAAATGGAAAGTTTTTTTGTTTAATGTTCTTATGTTCTTAAGTAGAATTAAAATGGTCAGCTAGCTAACAGGCTAAAAGATAGCAAACATGCTAAACAATTCCATCACTAATATCACAGACTTGAATTACAGCACATACGGGGTGATTAACTGTAAAACGGCAGTATAAAAGTCCAAAAATGTCACCTGAATGTCTTACACGCTTCAAATGTCCGTGTTTCAGTCAGAACTCACGTTAAACCCAGGCTGAATCTCAAACGGCTCCCCAAAGTGTATCCCAAAGTGTGCTAGCTACGAAAGATTAGAAATTCTAGCCTCTACAGCCAAAGAGTGCATCTGAGATTCAGCCCCAGCACGAGAAGAGGGGCGCCACTGAACTAGTGCTAAATAAGACTCGTGGTAATTTGGTGACCAAAAAGTACTTATAAAGTGAATGTTTTTGCAACAGTGCTGTGTTATCATATGTTCATTGTTATACGACAAAAAAGTTTTAAAAACTCCAACTTGAAATGACCGCAACATCCACAGCCATGGGTGACCAAACGTTCTCCTCCTTCAGCTGTTATTATTCTTCTATTTAACCGATTATTTACATAATTACCCAGCTTGTTCAGTGGATAGAAACTGTATTCCGAATGGCCTCAATCGGACTAGACTGTTCCGACTGAGGTGTGTTCATTGACGTTTTCTATTCTGCTTGAGCTATTAGTCGGATTATTAAGGGATTATCAGGCTGCATGTAAATGTGGCTAATGACAAGCAAAATGTGGCTTACTTTTAGTGGCTAATATTAAGTGTAATATTTGCTTCCATTAAGCTTTAGCTTCCAAGCTAGTTAGCTAATGTCAATGACAGTAAGCTGTCAGCCTGGCCACACCAATTATTTACTTAGTCTTAGCCTACAATGCAAATTGTACTGCCATACTTACAATGCAAAAAATTGCATTCGGAACTATTTACCATTAATGAACAACCTAACAGTATTATGAGCAACGGACCATGTTCCTATAAATGTTAGCTAGATTGCTAACTGTGCTGTGCAAACATCACTAACATTAGCTAACTAAGTTTCACATGTTCTGTAGCTAAACGTGTCTGTTTACCACCTCTTTATCCTCTAATACGCATATTTTAGTTTGAAGGACCATGATAGATGTCAAAAAATGAGCTCATTCATAGCGCCGGACTAAATATTTTTACACAGACGTACTGAAGAAGTCTTCAGTAAAACAGTGAACTACTCTGAATGAGTTTGTTTACATCTTAACCATTTAATTACGTAGGATTTTTGAAAAGTCGGTGGAGTTCCCCTTTGATGTGCATTAAGCTTTAGCTTCCAAGTGGGCCATGTTCCTATAAATGTTAGCTAGATTGCTAACTGTGCTGTGCAAACGTCACTAACACAATTTTCGCATGTTCTGTAGCTAAACGCGTCTGTTTACCACCTCTTTATCCTCTAATAAGCATACTTTAGTATGAAGGACCATGATAAATGTCAAACAAAGGGGCTCATTCATAGCGCCGGACTAAATATTTTTACACAGAAGTACTGAAGAAGTCTTTATTTAAAATAAAGAAATACAAAATGACATGCTATGTAAAAAAGCCAGTATATATAATAATTATCAGACATCCAAAAAGAAGTTGAGTGTTAAAAAAACACTTTTTTGAGTGCAGTGTTTCATAAACTCCACGCTGGTTTACCTTGAGGGTGCCGATGTCTTCAGTGCGTACCACAAACTCATCCCTCTCTCTGAATATTCCCTCTCCACCGCTCTCACTGTCTTCCTCCTCGCTCTCTCCAGCAATGGCGGCGTTGTCCTGCTTCTTGGCCAGGTGGAGGGAGGTGATCTGAGGTGTGGGGGCGTCTTCTGGGGTAGGGGGCGAGGGAGGAGATGGTTGGGGCAGATCAGCTGGAGGAGGAGGGGAGGAAGATGGTGGAGGGGTGGTGGAGGGAGGGAGTGTAGGAGGTGGAGGAGATGGAGAGGGGAGGGCAGGAGGAGAAGGGCTGGGGGGCAGAGACTGATGGTGTAGGGGAGCTGACTGTGGCTGAGGCTGTGATTTTGATGACGGTTGCGATGGTGATGGTAGCTGCGGCTGTGATGGTAGCTGTGGTTGTGGTGGTGATAATGGAGGTTCTGGACTGTCCTCTTCTTCCTCCTGCACACAAGGAGGGGAGGGAAGAGAAAGAGGAGGTGGGGGAAGAGGAGATGGAGAAGAGGAGGAAGAGCTTGGTGGAGAAGGAGAAAGGAAAGGAGGAGAAGGCGGCGCAGGAGCAGGAGGAGGCTCAGTTGAAGGATCTGTGAAAGTGTGAGGGAGGAAAGGAGTGGGAAAATACAAGAGGAGAGAGGGAAAGAAAAAGGAGTTAAAGCTGAATGCAAAACGTTCAGATATACAATACACTGTTAGAAATAAAGGTTCTGTGCAGGTACATTTTTTGTTCATCAAGGTACAAACAATGTCAATGTTCCCTTAAAGGTACAACAGTGGTTTTAAGGTCCAACTGTGTACCTTAAATAAGTTTTCCCCGGGGGAAAAGGTCTGTATTTGTACTTTTTCAGAGCATAATATTTTAAAACAGAACATTAAAACAGACAGCTTGGAGACTTTGTGGTCAATACAACTCAAAAAACATAACTGCAATAGATTATGTAAAATTATGTTTCATAACTAAAGGTACTGGAGATGTACCCTTGAGGGTACCACCCCAGTGACAAGAGGGGTACTGTCCCAGTGACAGTTTAGTACCTTTTTTTCTGAGTGTACCATTAATAATGTCTATTGGCATATAATTTCGTCAATAATAAATAATGCATTTAAGGGGTTAAAATAATATAAACTAGACACCAGAAGATAAAAACAAGAATACATTTAATGATAAGTAACATGTACTTTATTTACCAAAGTAATTTCTTAATAACAATTTACGACTCAATATTTGAATGCCACTTGTAAAATATGAGAGATTCTAGATATTAATTTCCGTTTTACTTCATTATCAGTGCTGTAGAGCTTTCTCTGTCAGTTTAGAAGCATCTATAGCTTTGTCCATTATTCTATACACGTAGGCTGTGTTCAGACTGACAGCCCAAATCCGATTTTTGGCATATCCAGATTGTATCCAGATTGATTTTTGATGGTCTGGACAGGAAAAAATCACATAAAATCTGATTTTTTGCAAATTGGATCCAAACCACATTTGGAGGTGGTTGAAATGCGATTCCAATCGTCACTCGCAGAGCGTCAAAAAGGATTCAAGGATTCAAGAAGAGCGCCAAAGATTATGCCATAGGCTTGCCAGAGACTTTTGAAGAGTTTGGAGGGCGAGATGATGCAACCCCCATCTCTCCTGCATCCTTGTTTGAAATCCACAGCTGCAGTGTAGCTACGTAGTTACTGACGCCTATGTTGTTACCACAGCAACCCACGCAGATAAGTTAGTGATGTTTGTACACACAAATCTGATCTGATCACTTTAACTATAACAGTGCGGACAGTCGTCTCAAAGAAATCTGAGTTGGTAAGTTTCAGTGCAGCCTTTCACATCAACATTCTCTGAGTGACTCAGTTTCTGAATGATGCAGAAATCTGAGAAGCAGCATGTGTGCACACGCTGTCTCACTCACCTTCACCCTTGGGAGCACCCAGCATATCATACTCCGTCTCCTCCTCCTCATCTTCCTCTTCCTCTTCAGCCTCTCTCTCCTCTTCTTCCCTCTGCACTACATTCTCTTCTTCTGTTCTCTCTTCCTCCATCTCATCTTCCTCATTTTCTTCTTGCTGTGAACTTTCTGGCTCCGCCTCCTCCAGCTCCTCCTGCTCTTGGTCCTGCAGGCATCCCTCTTCCTCCTGAGCGTGAGGCGTCTGTACGCTCTCCTGCGTCTCCAAATGTGTATGAGGATCCACATCAGGGGGTGATATGGAAGCTTCTGTTTCATGTTTTTGCTCACTGTGTGAGTGAGGGAGAGGTTCTGAATGAGGAGGCGGGGGAGGCGTGTCAAGGGGCACGTCCTGTGGAGTGGGCGGGGATGGAGTGGGAGGTGGTGGGACCGCTGCCAGACTGTGGGGCGTGTCGTAGAGTGCAGAGATGGCAGAGGAGATGCTCTTCTGCAGGTCCTGGTTCTTACTCACGGAGTCTTCCTCATCGGAGGAGAACGAGGGCAGTGTCTCCAGGTTCCTCTTAAGCTCCTCGTCCAGGCGCTTGCACGGTGATGGGCAGTTGCTGAGGGCCAGACCCCCCTCGCCCTCGCTTTCTCCAAATGATGGAGGAGGCGGTGGTGGTGGTGGAGGCGGAGGTGGGGATAATGGACGGATCCCGCCTTTGACCGACGGGTCATCTGAAGGGACGACAGGGCCTGGCTGCTTCTTCTCCGTTTTCAAGAAGTCCAAGAAAGAAGTTATGAAACCAGACTTCAGCTCTGGGGGTTTCTCATCAGCCTAAAAGAAGGGGGAAAGAGGGTAGAGGAAATGAAAGGAGGGGAAATACATATATACATATATGAGGAGAAATATATATATATGTATGTGTGTGTGTGTGTGTGTGTGTAGATAGATAGACAGATAGACAGATATACATACATATATGTATATGTAAGTATATATATATATATATATATATATATATATATATATATGTTGAAAGTGCAAATGAGAGGAATAAGAATATGTATAGAGATAACAGAACAGAAAATGAAGGGAAAAATGACAAGGAGATGTCTGAGTTAAACTGGAAATTCAAGTAATTTGAAAATTTAAGTTTAAAATAACCAGAAATGCTTTTTTGTGTCTGATTTTCTTTTTGCTATGCTCTCCCTCTATGTTAGGTGTGTCTAAGGGGGAGGTAGTACACCTTACTGAACAGCAGGGGGGCTGGATGACGGTTACTATGAATGGGTAACCGTGGCAACAGCTACCCTGGCAACAGCCAGCTCTCTCCCTTTCTTTTATTGCATTTTTTAAGGACAGAGCCATCACGGTAGTCTGTCAATCATCTCAGACTCAGAACATACTACTCCCTCTAGTGGAACTAAATGCACAAGCACACTGAGGACAATGCATTCCCTCTGAAATAAATGTGGAGGAGACATATGCGGTTTTCTTGATTTTTCTAATACTGGCCAACATTATGTTATATTCAGAAGAAGCAGTTACGTTTTTATGACATTCTTACTAAATTATTTAATGCATCAAGATATTCCATATGCACAACTGTGCCTTTATTAATGAATCATGAAATACTCAATGAGTGTTTGATCAAGTGTCTTACTGAGCTAGATAGTTTTTGCATGGTAGCCCAGGCCTCCGGGGTTAGGTCTTCATCCATGTCCCTCTCCCAGGACATCTGTGGAGAAACCATAGATATCTTCAGATTACATATGCAATAACTAAAGATATCTACATATTACACCCTCTGTTTCTTTTTCCTTCCTTCTCTTCTGAGGTTACCTGTTGCTGAGGCAACAAGAGCAATTTCACAAGTACAATTTTACACAAAGGCATACAGAAAGGGACCATTTGATTAAAGTTTCAGCATCTTCGGGCTCTGAAAAATGTGCACACTGGATGAAGCACATTTCCTATTTATTTCAGTTAACACTTTTTTGTATGTGTTTCATATTTATTTCAATATTTTTTGTATTTAGAGAATTTCTTGTCAAAAATAGGCAGGGATAATGCCATTTTCTTATAAAGATAAGAGGACAAATGACTTTTCAGACAGGGTTATTCCTTATACATTGCCATAATACTTGCAACTTTACCATTTCTCTTTGCTACAACCTGATTCAGAACAACCTTATGCACAGCTATAAATGCCAAAAAGAAGCGGTCAGTGTCTTAATGTACTTGAATATTTAGCTATTAAATATCTTAAGTAATCCCCTTGCTGTGGGTAATTGATATATAATAGCCCACAAAATTTAAATATCATAATTTTTGGATAACAATTAACAATGTCAAGTCATTTTCCTAATACAGTGAGACTGCTGGCATGCTAAGACAGGTAAATTAATTCTTATAATTATTGGTTAGTTAGATTTACATTGCCCTTACTAGTAATCAGAACATTTTTCTTTGATATTTCAAACCCTCAGCAACAAAATATTAAAAGTCTTATCTGGAAAAAATCGACAGTGCACAGGTGTCTTTTAGCCACGTAAAGATAAAATTCCAATTAAGAAAATAAAAGATTTTTATTTTATATACCTCTTGGTCCTTCTGTTTCATCTTTTCCTGAACACGGTTCATGTCAGCCCTGTTCATGTCCAGCGCAGATGTGGGCCCAGGGCTCAGGCCTAGAGATGGAGCAGATCCTACTGAGCCATCAGACAGAACTGGATCTGTGCTCGACAAGGAATCTGTCCTCAAGAGGGACTCAGATGAAGGCATGGAGGGAAGAGGGAGCTTGATCTAAGGGTGGGATAAATAATGATTGCAGATCTGAAGACTTACAATACATTATTTACATAACTATATACCAGTATTCCGGTTGGTATTCGGTATCAGTGTTCAAAAATAAAGCATTGTCACATTCCACCATGTTTATCATACCTCCTTTACTCACCTTAATTGGTTTGATAGGTTCCTGATACTGTTGTTGAGGCTGATGTTGTTGGGGATGTTGTTGATGTTGGTGCTGTGGCTGCTGTTGATGATGTTGCTGCTGTTGATGTAGGTGTTGCTGATGGTGTTGTGCATGTAGGTGCTGTTGTTGGTGCATGTGTTGCTGCTGAGGTTGGAGATGCTGCTGTGGCTGTGGGTGGTGGTGCATGTGTTGCTGTAAGTGTTGTTGTTGATGTTGCTGTTGTTGGAGTTGCTGTTGTTGTTGGTGATGAAGATGAGGTGCTTGTTGATGAGGTTGTTGATGGTAATTTTGTCCTTTGTTCATGTCTCTGTGCATTTCCAGCATAAGATCGTCTTTCCTGCCACGACCCCTTCCTCGACCACGGCCCCTTCGGGTCTCACCAGCACCAGGTCCCATCAGGCCTCTACAGTACGGAGGTTCTGGTAGTGGACGAATACGGGGTCTTCCCCTGGGCCTGGGAGGGCCTTCTCTTTTGGGTTTGGTGGGCTTTCTACCCCTCTTCTTTGGCCCTTCATGGGGAAGAAGCTGTGGAGGTGGTCCAAGAGACGGGTACCCTGAGGGGTGGCAGAAATCCAAGTCACCCATTAGGGGACTTAGACTACCAACCCCTGAACCGCCACCGGACTTTCGGCAACTTGACACCAGGTCTGGAAGCAAATCTGGGAGTCGCCTACTGTTTAGTCGAATGTCAGCAGGGACATCTGCTTTGTCCTCATCATCCTCAAATTCATATTCTTGGGCATATGTTTTCTTGGCCTGTGGTTGGGAGTTGGGATCCCTCCGCTGTTTCAGAAGGTGGAAGGAGCTGGTCTTTAGTAGTTTTTTGGGTCTAGAGGAACAGAAGATGGGTGAGGTCAGCCCACTTGTTCCAGATCCACTTCCTACACCTGACGTTCCCATCATTTTGTTCCCTGTTCCATCTACACCAGACCCTGTCCCACCCATTCCAATGCCCGGAGTCTGAGACTGGATCAGGCCCAGTTGCTCTGTGTTCACAGTGGATGGGAGTTCATGGGTTTTCAGGGAGTCTAAATCTAGATGCATGGTGCCATTGCCAGTTTCAGAAAGACTGTGACAGTACTGCCCATATCCTTGGTCACCATGGTGACCCATCATGTCATATCCACCTGCCCCTCCACCTGCTTTAACTGATTCTATTCCATCTTGAACATTTACACGCCCCTCAGACACCATATCCTGATCTCCTTGGCCTGCACCACCTCCTCCTGCACAACTTGACTTATAATCCTCAGAGCAGAACATGTCCTCCATTCCTGGGAAAAATGACCGATCTTCATCTTGGAGCAGAGAGTCAGGGAAACAGATGGAGGTCAGAGGCACAAACCTCTGCTGTTGCTGCTGGCTCTGTCCCTGATTCTGAGTTTGTTTCCCAACAGGACTTCCTGTGTCAAACTGGTGCTCTTTGAGCTGATCTAGTTGTGTCTGGGCAAGCTGGGGCTCTGGTTCCCTGGGCTGGGCCTGGGGCTGCAGAGGGGCAGAATTGGTTGCCATGTGATGAGAGTGCTGGTGAGAGTGTTGATGATGAGGGTGGGGCTGTGGCTGGTGGTGGGCATGAGGGTGTGCATGGTGTGTCATATGGTGCAGATGAGACTGAGTTGACATGCTCAAATTCGGCTCATTCAGGAAATCAAGCTCTGAAGGTGTTTGTTGAGGATGATGAGACTGATGGTGTGAGGGCATCCTGTGCTGCTGCTGCTGCAGCTGCTGTTGCTGCTGTTGTGTTCTATGATGTTCACTGGTACCACCATCTCCACCAACAATCCTCTCAGTGGACCCTGAACCTTCACGGCTGTTTGTCCTTGAGAGTGACCGTTCAAGCATGTCTAGCTGCGAGACAGAATTTTGACTTGACTGACTTTGGTTTCGCTGTGCTTCACGTCCATAATGGGCCTCCAAAGCCTGGGACTGAAGCTGAAGCTGAAGCTGAGAGGCCTGTGGCTGGGTTTCCACTCCCCCACCACTAGCAGTCCCAAGACCTCCAGATGGTCCCATCAAAGCATGTTGGCTCATAGGGTGCGGCTGTTGCTGGGGGGCCTGTTGAATGTCTATCTTGTTACGTGTGGTGTGAGAAAGAACAGACTGGAGAAGGTGAGCTTGCTGAGGTTGCTGAGTCTGGTCAGGCGGTGAATCCATGTGTGAAAGGGAAGTTTGGGACTGTCTCTGTTGCAAATCTGGGGTCTTTCGCAAAAAGGGCAGCTCTGATGTATCGGGAGCTTTCTTGAGCTCCATGTGGGAGTGAGACAGAGAATGTGGGTGGGAGTGCTGTGTATGTTGGGAGTGCTGTGTGTGTGAAGTGTGAGAAGAGTGATGTTGGTGTTGGTGTGTCTGGTGGACATACGGGTCCCCTCTCCCATAGTGAACCACAGAGCCAAGGGAGTCATGTTGGTGAGTGTGAGGTGCATGGGGAAGAGAGTGAGAGAGTGAATCCATTCCTCCTCGCCCTCCATTTGCCCCAGCTCCAGACACATCTGTTTTTGCTTGCTGCTGCTTCTTAAGAGACATGTCCAGCTGACTCTCTGAAGGAGTGCTTAGTCCTGTGGAGCTTGCAGCACCAGGAGCCACATTATTGGTGGCATTATTCGTGCGAATGACACTCTGAAGGTGGTAGCGCTCCTCAGAAGCCTTGTTTAGTTCATAGGCAGACATCCCCTTTGTTCCTTCCCCACTTTGGGGCACTGACTGGGACTGTGGCTGCTGCTGGGAAGGAACCTGTGGCTGTTGTTGAGTGTGGTGCTGAGAGGGGGGAGGTGCTGGACTCTGAGAGTGCAATAGATGCTGAATTAGAAAATCATCATCATCGTCTTCATCCTCTTCTTGGGATCGCTCAATACTGAGCATATCAGACTCTGACTTGGACTTCGGTGGTGCTGAATGATAAGACTGTGTTTGGGGTGGTGGTGCCCTTGTGTCTGAGTATCCCTGTGGAGATGCTAAGAAAGCAGGAGAAAGAACTGAGGATAGGTATTTGGTACCCCCAGTTCCTCCTGGAGACTGTGCAGGGCGAGTGGGAGCAGGGGAGTGTAGTCCTGGGCGGATAATTCCAGAGTTACTTGAAGGGGATGGGCTGGAGTCTGGTAGATGGTATGATCCTCCACCTCCACCACTTGCAACAGTGTTACTGCCAGCACCTCCACCACCTGAACTACCCCCTCCTGAGCCAGTACCACCACTTGTTGTACCTGTACTCCCTCCAGATCCAATTAGGGCAGGTGAATGTCCTGGACCACCATAGCCCATTGAGGGACTTCCTGCTCCTCCAAGAGAGGGTGGTAAAGAACCATATCCTGATTCGGAGCCATATACCACCTCAGCTGAAAACGAACGTCCCGTTGCTCCAAGACCTCCAAACCCTTTTCCTGACCCCCCAGGACCGGAGCTCAGATCCTGGGCCTGTGGGGAGCTGAATCCTCCATAAGGCTGGGACAGATGGGAGGGCGGGGGCTGACTTGGCGAATATGATTGTGAGTGTTGCTGTGGTGGGGTTTGGCCAGGGAGCCCAGAGGTGGGTTTAACAGGAGCAACAGGAGAGCCATATGTGGAAAGGCAGGGTTTGGGGGGAGGCTGTTGTGCAGCAGAAGAGGACACAGGGGGAGGCGGAGGAGGTGGCGGAGGGGGTTGGGGAGCAGCCTGGGGTGGTGGCTGCTGTCTTGAAGGGGCAGAGGAGGAGCTAGATGAAGCACTGGGGTTAGATGAAGCGGAGGAGGAGGAAGAAGTGGAGGAAGCTGAGGGGGGTGTGTGAGGTGTTCTGGATGAAGAAGAGCTAGAGGACGAGTAGCCACTGCTCGAACTAGAACTCTTTCCTGTTTTCCCGATACCACCTCCTGTGGCAGCTGATGAAGATGTCGAGGAGGTACTATATGGGGGCTGTATTATGGGGCGGTAAACTTGCTCTGACCGGGGTGAGGGTTTGGGATCAGATGATGGGCTCTGGTCACCCAGAGGACTACAGTTTACTCCTCCATGTCTATGGTGGGAGATCTGCTGGTACCCCGAAGCTCCACAGCTAAGATAATGTTGCAGGGGATGGGGCGTGGTGGAGGACAACTGGGACTGTGCAGGGGAAGGTCTCTGATAGTGCTTAATCACACTGTCTTGCCTGGGAATGGCTCTTTCTTGGGGGGTAGGCGGCTGTGGAGGTGCAGGAGTTGAGGAGAATACAGAGGCATTGTATAGCTGGGAGGATTGGTCTTGAAGCTGTGAGGAGAGCAGGTTAAACTGGGGAGGAGGTAAGTGGCGAGAGGAAGATGATGTGGATGCTTGAGCTGGAGGTGGAGGAGCACTGGAGGGCTCCTGAGCCCCTCTGTATGCTGCCGCTGCACTCTGAGAGGAGAGAAGACGGTCAAAGCCAAGACTGGACTGGGAAGGTGTTTTTATGTGCAGCAATGGATCATGTGGTGACAGGAGGCCATTGGAGGTGGGGCTGAAGGTGGGCGTGTCCTGAAGAGACAGCGACGGGGTCACTCCAGGGAAGGAGCGCCCTGAGAAAGAGGCAGGGTGCTGATACGCTGACAGGGCTGAGGAAGAAGGGAAGGAGCCAGATCCAGGCAAAGCACTGGAGATGAAGAGCTCTGCAGGAGCTGGAGTATGCATTGCTACAGCAACAGAAAGGAAGACAGAGAAACCAGAATGATCAACAGGTTAAAACTACATCTGTGTAAATATGTCTCTGTACTGCAATCAGTGTATTACAAAGCTCTACGTTCAATAGTAAAGAAAGAATGTGGCACAGTTACTTACCAGTCTGCCAAGAGGGGGTACGAAACTGAGAGAGGAGGGAGGAGGCAGAAGGGGGAGGCTGTGGACCTCGGGATTCCAAAGCAGAGATCAGGTTCATGACGGATGCGTCAGGCCCTGAGGTGCTAGCATGGTGTAACCCAGCATCAAACAATCCTGAAAGCCCTGTGAGAAAAGGAACAGTCGTACTGAAATGAGTAGGGATGATCATTATACTCATCATTAAACAGTAAACCTAAAATCTGTTAATGCCCCCATAATAAACAGACATGTACATTTACTAATCAGGGTAAACAAACAAGTTTGTATCCCTCACCTAAACTCCGGCCAGCTGCACCCCACGCTCCACCCTGTCCAGAGCTGCCTGGGTGATGATTGGTTGCATAGCCCTGCAGGGGGTGTGCTGTGGCGTATGCTTGACGATGGAGCAGTTCTGAGTCCGGATGGGAGGATCTGGAACTCCCATACATCAGACTGAAAGCATGAGAGAAAGAGAAGGGTGAAAAAAAGAAGGATCGAGGGTGTGAGTGGAGAATTACTATGCAGACAAAAGAGCCTCAGACTGCTTGCATATAATTAACCCTTATCTGATAAACTACAGGCTAAGTATACCTTAGTGATACTGTAAAACATTAACAAAAAAAAAAAAACATTACATTCTCTCACTTAACACGGCACTGAAAAGGTCTGCTGGGCTGTACTCTTCGTAAATCCCTGTATAGAATATCAGCTGACCAAGCTCTGCATTATCCCCTTCTCACCAGAGCCACACACATAGATTAGCTGTTTAATCAGCCTATTCGCTTCCATATCCTCCCTCTCCCAAATAGCCTCTGGATCTGACTATATGCAGTCTGCATTACAACAATGCACATGCTCATTATCCTAGTCCACATGCAACCTCTCTGGGCTACGAATGACAAGACCTGGTTTTGATGTCCCAAGGGCCACTATTAAAATCCCATCAGTGTATGTTGATCAGTAATCAAATGTTCAATGCTGACCAGCAAGCAGGGGTGGGCGATATGGCAAAAATATAATATCACAATGCTTTCACAATACAGGATGTCACAATATCCTGCAAAAGTTTGGGTGCCCCTGGACAAATGACATGCTTTTATTGATTATTACCATAAAAAAAGATACTAAATAAATAAATACCTTTTAAAAAACTAAGTACAATGATTTTTTTTCCCAATATTTCACATATTGTCCTGGACTAAATCCAATTAAACAGGACTAATTATGTCAGATAAATAATGATTATAATAATTATACAAATTTGTAATGAAACATGTTGACAATATCCACAATAAGCTCAGAAAAGCCTGTGCCATCATTTATCACAATAACATCATATTACCCACCTCTACATGCATGTAATTCCAGAAAGTGCTAATATAGACCACATACTTGGACTCTGAGATCAAACAAAAAGGACTGAGAGCTGATCAAAACTGACCAACCTGTTTATTTCCTCTCTATTTATTTGAACAGAGATACTAATGCATGTCTTTTGGCAAAAGCTAGACGAAACTGTCTTATGATCTTGCGTTTTCACTTGTTACATTCTCCAGAGCTGTGGTTCTTTCTCTGCTGCAGTCATTCACCCCGATTGGCTACGGCTCGGCGCGTTGTCAGCCAATCAGCTGTCTCTTGGCGTCTCCACAGACTGTTGTTCCCTTTCATAAGAGTGGGCAGTTGAGTTGACAATGGCGGTTAGGATGTTGCTGAGGTGAGACAGAGCGCTCATTGATAAAAGCTCTCCTGTGACTGAATTGCCTTGGTAACCCCCTCCCCTCCATCCTCGACAGGCTCTTAATGTGAGTACAGCTCAGTTAGTGAGGATCGCTCTACTCGGAGACCAGTGTGGGAAGCCACAGACACCACACACTGAGCCAGCACGTGGTGAGGGGGTGGGTGTCATTCAATACGAGCAACGAAACGGACCAGCCAGTCTATCTTTAAACCAACAGAGAAAAGACCCAAATAAGTTCATTCTACATTGGTTGTGTGCAAAAAAGCACAATCCAGAAATATACCCAAAGAGGTACATATGGTACTGTTGTTATATTCAATACTGTGTGAAATGAACACCAACACAAAAATAATCATACTCCAGCAGGCTCTGATGGGCACAGACAGTGCAATAATACTGACGTCCATTGTATTTATCAAGGTGTTTTAAGCAGAGATGACAGAAACTCGTCCTGAGGGGACGCCATCTGGGAGTTTGTCCGTCCCTCTTAAACAGACGCCCGTCTCCAAGCCAGGGCACTTGTGTAATTAGCTGGATAAAAGCTCTAATGAACTGAGTTAAATGTTTAAATGCACAAGCGAAAGAGCACAAATATCACTCTTGCGCTGCCTCACTGACACATCTGGAATACAGCGCGGCCACTGAACTACCACAGTTGCTGGAGCCGTGGTGAATTCTTTGCAGTCGGCATCCTAGCAAACTCTCATTATTTAAACACTGCGTGCCTTTGTACATAACAATTTTAGTCTAGGCTAAGGAGGCTGGATCAAAATCTGAGGTCGGTACATTAATCAGCAAAAATGACTTGATGGTGTTTTCCAAACCAGCACACCAAAAATCTGAAGAAAGACTGGAATGCTCTCTCCTGAATAATTAATGTCTCCCGGCATCCGTCAAACATCAGCCTTCATATACATTGAAAAGACTCTTCTCTGGAGGTCTCTCGCTGGATCAAAGGGACTGTCATGTGCTAAAACTCATTAAGATTGACATGAGGTTGATAGGAATCAGACCTTAATTGGATGCTAATCCCAAAGAGGCAGTCCAGAGACCCGGAAGGAGTGAGGGATTGATCCCAAGGGAATAAGGGTAATTGATGGATGACTTCCACATACACACTCTAACAAGAGATGGCACGGCACTAGTTTTTCTTTTTCTGATACTGATATTATGGTAGTAAGCTTTTATGAATACATATACCAATCTGATATTTTACTATGCTTTAGTTTAGCTTCATTTAAGAAGGACATTTAAAATAGAGATGCACCAATGTGGGATTTGTGGGCCGATGCCTACATCCAGTATTTATTCTATAAAATTGATAGATTTTTGACTATGTAGAAACTACACTGTAAAAAACGTGGAAAGAAAATGGTAAAACGTCTTTAACAAGTTGGAACTAGACAAACCCCATTACTTCACAGTAAAAGTATGTTTTGGTAAAAATCTGTAAAATTATAGTCATTTAGTTTCTGAAAAATATTGCATTTTACCAAAATTCAATAGTTTCACTAGATATTCTGACATACAATATTTTGCCATCATGATAAGAACAACAACAAAAATAACACAAATGTCTGTGAACTAAAGGTGATCATTTGTTTTTGTTAATTTACATTCTATTTCTGTAAATTAACGACAGCAGTGGTAAAATATAATATATGTAGTATGCAGTATGTAGTATATAGTATATAGTTATAATGCCCTGCGATGGACTGGCAACCTGTCCAGGGTGTTTCCTGCCTTCTGCCTATACTGCTGGGATAGGCTCCAGTACTCCCCACCCCCCGCGACCCAGAAGAATAAGCGGTGTAGATAGTGAGTGTGTGTGAGCTACCATATAGCATATGCATGTTTATTTACATGCATTTAACCTCTTTTTTTAAAAAAAAACTGGGCATTTGAGCATTAAATATTACAGTACTTTGACAGTGAAAATACCTTTTATAGTGTTTTAGGATTTGCATTATAGACAGATAAAACCTATTTGTAGAGGGCTACAAATGCAGTAAAATGTGTATATTTTAGCGCAGTAAGCCAGTGTCGTCTAAACATTCTGCTCTTCCAGCGTCCTCAAACACTTATTTGAAATACTGGTCAAATCTAAACATCTGTCTGCTAGTCTTTTTTTCTTTTAAAGCAAATATCTGCTGATACCAATATGTTTCCGATATCATCATGCATCCCTAAACCCAAAGAAGGCTATAATGTTACATAATATGGATGACTGAGTGCTGTTTCAGCACAGATTTGTTACAGCATTGGATTGGACTCGTTCTTTTTTCCCCTCTGATATCAAATCCAGCATTTTCTGGCCCGATCCCGATACCCATCAACACAGATATGTCATCTTCAGCCCTGCCTTCCTTCTACTCCCATCCTCTTGCTCACTTTTTTCCTCCATTTCTCTCCATGCCCTTTCCATTCTTATTGCTTTACACTGGTTCACTTTTTCTTTAGGTAAGTTCACCCCTTTCCATTTCTCCTCTCACTTCTCCGATAGGTTCTATGTGATCATCACCCCTTCGTCAGCCCTTGCATGCATTGATCTAGCGCAGTACACCTTCCCTCTGCCCTCTCCATTTCCTCTCTTTTTTCTAAGCTTCATCACCTTTGATCCACACCTTTAGCCAATCATTTTCTTCATCTCTCGTCCTCGCTCGCTTCCAGACTGTGTTAATGGGATAATACATCTCAAGTTTGATGGACAGAGAGGACGTGAGAGAAAGAGCGAGGTCTACAATGAAGGTTCTAGGAAAAAAACATTTGATCAGTATGGAGGTTCTTCACAAAAATAGTTCCTAAAAGAGTTTGATGTAGTATGTAAACACTATAAAGTTTGAAAAAGTACCGCCCACTCCACAGTCCACACTGTCCATATATGGAAACTACAATGCTGTTTTGAAATCACTGTTTATGTGACATCACAAAATCCAACACATACCCATATACCCGCCTATTCAGCCTACAGTAGTTTACCTCTGCCTATTCATGCTGAAGATGAATAGGAAGCGCAATATACACTAACCAATCAGAACAGAGCTCATTTACATGCATCACACTTGCAGGCAAAGCCTGTTCAAGTCTATAAAATCCCAAACTTATTACATATTAAGTCTTATAATTCAGTAAATACAGAGACTTCAATGCAAACTATTTGAGCTATTCTAAGGTTATAGATGTGTATAATAAAACTTCAGGCCTGCTGCTGTGACCTATTCAGGGGTTAATAGTAAGGGATAAAGAGAGGTCAGAAAATGAACATGTAAAAATTAATTACAGTACATAAAACCACACAAATATTATAAGTGGAAAAAATTCACAATGCAGTGGTTCTCAAAGTGGTACCCCGAGACGGTCCGAACTAACTTGCAGCGCACAGTTTTACAGCACAAATGTGGACAATCTGGGTGTCCCTGAGGACCAGTTTGGGAGCCACTGCTTTAAAGACCCACTGGTCAAAAAGTTATTTGGGAAACAAAAGAGGTACTGCTCTAGAGAACCCCTTATTTGTGAGGGTACACGCATGAGATGAATTAGAGTCTGAATTAGAAAGCTCTATTAAATGGACTGTAAAGGGCTGCTCCCAATTATATGGAGGGTAATTTGACACAGTCCCTCCTAACAGGTGCAAAATGTTTATGAGCTGAAAGGAAACTCAATCATGCCCATTAATCTCCATTAGAAACGTGACGGGGTGTCAGTGTGTGGTGGG